CATCTTAGCCTGGCAACACAAGTTTTAGTCAAAATGCATGTGCAAATTGTACCCTCAAATATCCTATATAGACAAAGGTCAATATTTAACACCCTCATAACTCGGTCAAAACTCAACCGATTTTCACAAGGTTTGGCGTTTTGTTCATGGTTGGGCCTTTATATCAATTCTGCATCTAAGCATGGCAACACTATTTTTAGTCAAAATTCATGTGAAAGTTGTACCCTCAAATATCCAATATAAACAAAGGTCAACATTTTCCAACCTCATAACTCGGGCAAAACTCAACCGATTTTCATAAGATTTGGCTTTTTGATCATGGTTTAGCCTCTAGATAAATTCTGCATCTTAATCTGGCAACACAATTTTTACTCAAATTCCATGTGAAAATTGTACCCTCAAATATCCTATATAGACAAAGGTCAACATTTCCCACCCTCATAACTCGGTCAAAACTCAACCGATTTTCACAAGGTTTGGCGTTTTGTTCATGGTTGGGCCTCTATATCAATTCTGCATCTAAGCATGGCAACACTATTTTTAGTCAAAATTCATGTGAAAGTTGTACCCGCAAATATCCAATATATACAAAGTCAACATTTTCCAACCTCATAACTCGGTCATAACACAACCGATTTTCATAAGGTTTGGCTTTTTGTTCATGGTTTGGCCTCTAGATCAATCTGCATCTTAATCTGGCAATACAATATTTAGTCAAAATGCATGTGGAAATTGTACCCTCATATATCCTATATAAACAAAGGTAAACATTTCCCACCCTCATAACTCGGTCAAAACTCCACCGATTTTCACAAGGTTTGGCGTTTTGTTCATGGTTTGGCCTCTAGATAAATTATGCATCTTAGCCTGGCAACACAATTTTTAGTCAAAATGCATGTGCAAATTGTACCCTCAAATATCCTATATAGACAAAAGTCAACATTTCCCACCCTCATAACATGATCAAAACTCAACCGATATTCATAAGGTTTGGCTTTTTGTTGATGGTTTGGCCTCTAGATAAATTATGCACCTAAATCTGGCAACACAATTTTTAGTCAAAATGCATATGAAAATTGTACCCTCAAATATCCTATACAGACATAGGTCAATATTTCATACCCCATAACTCGGTCAAAACTTAACTGATTTTCATAAGGTTTGGCTGGATCAGCATCTAAAAAGTAAATTGGCTTATCGTCAGACCGGTTTCAAACTTATTTTAAAGTTCTTTTAGAAAATTTATGTTATACCATTTATGTATACCAGATAGTATAATGATAAAGTATTTAATACGAAAGTATATAATTGTCATATGTGTATGTGCGTGTTTGTGTGCGTGTGTGTTCTAGTGTATTTATATATATGCATTTATGTATAGATGTATGCATTCATGTTTATTTTCTAATATCAAACAAAGACCAAGCCTATTCGTCGATGCTATGCAAAATAAATAGCAAATAAAGAAGTTTCATACAAACGTTTTTCGTGATTTTCCACACATGGAGTGGAATTCCCCGTCACCCCCAAAAAGGGTAACTACAGTGAACATTTCAGCTTCCCAGCTCTTAAGGTTTGGGCTATGCGTTGATCGCCAATCAGTCAGTCAGCCCGGACAAACAGTTTTATTTATAGAGATATTTTTAGGTTTGTGCATATATTATAAGCATTCTATTAATAAAAAATTGGTGAACATTCATATTCATATTTTCCACACAATTTGTTGAAAGGGGAAACTAAGTGTCTTGGAAACACAACGTGCAGAAAATTTTCTATTAGATAAACTGTCAGTCCTTTGCGGTGACATTGGCGACAGGGCTAACGTGAACGTGTGCCCAGGCGCCCCAATACGAAAGTCATACTATGATATTTCAAATTATTGTGAACCCCTCGTGAACATTGTGAGATTGTCACCACCAATATACCCTGTATATTACTCAAAATATATTTCAGTCGTAATTGTCTATGGAATTTCATTATAAGCAGAGATGACTGAATAAGAAGATAGAAAGGAAGTAAATAATATAACAAAAAATATTAATGACAAATCTAGTTATTAGCTAAAAATCACTCTCCTCATGCACGCAGGTAATAGGACAGCACATTAACAGGTATTGAAATACTACAAATTTTGCACGTGTTTTAGTCTGGCGGTAACTGAATTATACACGTAAAATATTAAGAAAAATACCTCGTGTGCTTATGAATTAAATACAATACGTGACATTATACAAAAATGACAGTGAGCAATGACTATGCGACATGGTAACTAACTGACAACATAGGACAATATTCCACCACATTTGAAATTCGATAGGAGCGCGCTCAAAGTTAAGAATGTTAAGCGTTGCGCAACACTCCCATATAGCGCGATATATCGTATCTCGTCACTATTAAGTCGACCAACCTCCACGCTGGTGCGGCGTGGTTCTCTGATTTACTGACATTTAATAAAAAACTTCAATAACAATGGATGATGAGGCGGAAACTTATAAACTTTGGCGAATACGCAAGACTATCATGCAACTAAGCCACGATCGTGGGTACCTTGTGACCCAGGATGAATTGGACCAGACTCTGGAGCAGTTTAAGGAAATGTTTGGCGACAAACCCAGTGACAAGCGCCCGTCGCGCTCAGATTTGATTGTATTGGTGGCCCACAACGACGATCCTACTGACCAGATGTTTGTCTTCTTTCCCGAGGAACCGAAGATTGGCATCAAAACCATAAAGACGTACTGTACCCGCATGCAGGAGGAAAACATTCATAGAGCCATCGTCGTGGTGCAAGGTGGCATGACTCCCTCGGCCAAGCAATCGTTGGTCGACATGGCACCCAAGTATATACTCGAACAGTTTCTGGAGTCTGAGCTGCTTATCAACATTACAGAGCACGAGCTGGTGCCGGAGCATGTGGTAATGACAGCGGAGGATAAACAAGAGCTACTTAGTAGATATAAGCTAAAGGAGAACATGTTGATGCGGATCCAAGCGGGAGATCCTGTCGCACGCTACTTTGGCCTGAAGCGTGGCCAAGTAGTGAAAATTATACGTTCCTCTGAAACAGCGGGTAGATATATATCATATCGATTGGTTTGCTGAGCGACTTGCAGACCGGCTGACAGCTCTTGTAAAATCAAACAAGCGCAATGAAAATATATATTTTCTTTTAAGCTTGCATTCAATTAAAATGAATAAATAATTACATATAATTTTAAAATAAACCCTAATTAATCAATATATCAGTAAATATGAGTTACGTTTTCTAATTGCAGAAGTTATTAAAACTTTCCATACACTTAGCATATTCGCAATATAAAACAAAGGTACAAAAAATTGATGTATCGATAGTCTTATATTCTGTCGATAAGTGTAAAGGTATAACAGTGTGCGAAGAGAAAAAACAAATACAGAAAATACAATTATACAATCTGAGGTGTGTTGTCTGTGCCTGGTCTGCTAAACAGCTAGTGGCGTCCATTCTGAGATGGCCATGCTAACGCGCCTGACCAGCAGCGGTACGACAACGGTAGCACCCGGCTCGCCAAAGGGCTTGCAACGTTTTCAAAACTACCTCACCGCATTCCTTTGGCCGAGTGCTTCGCAGCGACAGCAGCGCAAGTCCTCTACGCAGTTAGATGCCATTGATTGCTTTACCAACGAGTTGGTCAACCGTAAGACACAAAAATGGGAGGAGCTGCGAGAAAATCTGATGAAACCCGTTGTCGAGGATTCTAATTACGGAGGGAACTTTGGACAGAATGTCGGTCTGATGTCTAAAGGTATGATGAGCGACTTGAAAACGCTACGCTCACCGCAACTGGGCCTAGACATACGATCTCTGTCGCAACCGCAGCTGGACAATTTGCTCCTAGCCACGCTGGAGATCAAGAATAAGGTTGACTTTCTCTATTTAATACGCCAATGCGTACGCTGGCAGCAGTTGCCCTGCAACGAAGTTTTTATCTCCTGCTTAAAGTATTTGAGCTCATTGGGCCGTATTCAGCAGCTGGAATCGCTTACAGAGACATGCCGACACTTAAAGCATCCTTTTGCAAGCACTTACTCGGATCTGGCTCCGTTTAAGGCTATTGCCCTATGGCACAATGGCAACTCAGATGTCGCGTTAATGACGCTGCATCGCGGCTATGGCGGAAGCCTTAATACAGAAGAGGGCAGACGCATGATTCGCGTTGCCTTTCGTACCATTGTAGAGGAGACTTTGGCCCAGAAAAGCGAAGCAGTACTTGTATCTCTTATAGAAGTCGCGCGTGACATATACCGAGAGCACAAGGACATATTTGTGGTGGCGTGCGTGTGGAAACAGTGTTTTGCCAGTGATTGGTTTTGTGATCAAAAATCTGCAGGCGAACTATTCGAACATTATAAGGAGCTGCAGCAACTTGTGGATCGCAGGTGCGTACTAATTTGATTAATCCACCAATTTTTTATTGATATTCGAAATTCTTAAAATAATTCTTTTAGAGCCAGTCCTCTCTGCTCCTCGTTCCTGAGTCGCCACAACATTGATGCCGTTCATCGTCTAATAGAGGTATTTTTGCAGCACAATCAGCGAACCGCATGTGGAAATTGCTTAAGTTTGCTCTTCAACTATCAATGTATGGGTCATACTTTATTTAATTATACTGGATATATGACTAATTTTTATATTTTACAGACTTGCGCAAGGACCTGCGTGCGTGTGCTGAAATTGTAAAATCCTGTAGCGAACTTGAAATGCCATTGAATGAGCTGCAAAATGAACAGTTCCTTAGTCTTTTCCTTGATCAAAGCGATCCATTTGAGACAGCAGCTGGCAATCGTAGTGCGGCCAAGTACAAGACAAAATCGTTCCAGTACAAATTTTAGAGGCAATAAGTTTCGCACTCTCTGAAACCGTAATTATAATTGTAGAGCACCAAATGATGCAACAACAATCATCCCGTTATTGCATTACAGCAATATGCACATATACCTTTAAACCTTTAATAAACGTTATATACCTTTAACACTTTTAGTTTTGCTCACGAATATAATGGACAATTGGCAAAAAAAAATTATTCAATATCACTTTAACAAGCTGCCAAATTTATATTTACTTAAGGCCAATACGTACTATTAAGCCTTTGACTAAATTTGAACCAAATTCTTTGCAATTTTTTTAGACTATTTTTGCTTAACTATTTTATTATTATTCAAAGGGTATCTCATGTCGACAGTTTTAAATGTCCTTGATGTTCCCACCAGGTAACTGCGACGTTTCAAGTCCCATACATTCATAACAGCGTGAGATTAGATGATTGCCACATCGATGCACCTGACACTGTTGGCAACGAGAACGCGCTTTAATTTCACGCTTGTTGCGAGCGCAGGGTTTGCAACGGCGATACCTATCTCCATAACGACTAACCAAAGTGACACCTTCGGGTAGCATGGCATTAGCCACACTAATAACGCCTATTCCATTTGAGTGCTTTGCATCGTTCGATGCTTCACTTAACAGCCGCTGGCTAGATTGACCCAAAATCTCACAAATTTGCAAACGCATAACAAGCGATGTATTCGTAGACCGACGATGCAGGCGACGTTGTAAGCGTTGCTGAGTTAAAAAGAGTCCCAGTTGGCGCTGGCAGTCGCGTTGCTCCATATTGGCATCGCCGGTTGGCGATAGTCGGAGTAATATCCATGCGTTAACAGCTGCCACATTGAGCATCAAATGCAGCAACTGCAGGAATAAGCCAGGCTTAGCTCCCGCCAGACTTGCAGGCAGAGACAGAGCTGTACTATATCTGTTGGACAATTCTAAAAATTGGTTGCAGGTTTGGAAAGTGTGTAGTTGCGTTTGCAAGGCATTTAATTGACTGTTCAAACCACAGCTGAGCAATGCGACGCCAGATTGCTGGGATAGTTTCTTAGAGCCGATTTTAAGGGTTCCACCTGACCAAGCTTTAGGATAGTCCAACGAAGTGGAGGGCAATGTGCAAATACTACTTAAATTGCATTGCAGCAGTTGTTCGCAATGGTTCACGCTGACAAAGTCCGAGCATAGCGTTACATTACGACCTGTGGTTTTGTAATCGCAAATGAGCTGCATCAGTTCCTTATTGGGCTTCAACTCTGGCTTTGTAAGTAACGCATTGGTCATATAGAGAGTCTTGGCATCACAGCAGAGTGCCAAGAGCACATTATCAAGAGACTGCTGCTCATCCACACAAAGCCAACCACTGGGTCCATAATAAGAGCGACAGTTTATAAGTAGTTTTTGCCACAGGCGCTGTGCATCGTTCCAGCTGCTATCACTCTGATAGCTAAGGCAATTTGCAATAAACTCGAAGCGTGTGAGCGACATTGCAGCACGAAAGATGGCATTTCCTAGCTCTAGCGTCCAGAGCTCCTCTGTTAAAAGCGAAAGGGTGAGAGAACGGATAAATTATACGTGATAGCTGTTTAACTACCCAGCGGTCCATTGTACTGCGCATTACGAAAAACGCCACACAAATAACTTAAGCCCAGCCAAGAGCGCAGCTCTGTGAGATCTACGGACCGCTCTGCAGCATTACTGGTTCGTCGCTTACGTATCCGCTCGTTAACCAGGCGAAGCAGCATGCGCAACATTTCATCATCAAATAATAGCATCCAAGACTCCACAGCATTGGAAACGGATCTTGCCGGCCCTTTACCGCAAGCTTGCTGCCTAGGAACCATCAGTTCCTCCTGTACAGGAGTCACATCACGATCCACGTTCCAGATGTGACCACTGCAAGAATAAAAACTGACGCCGCTGTTTGAAGGCCGCCCACGTTTACCACGACCTTTGCCAGGTATCAGTACCTCCTCAGAGAGCTGTGCATCTAGCAAAATGTCTTCATCATTAAAAAGCCACAAAAAGTTAGATGACAACGAAGATGTTTCCTGCAGCGGATCTGCGTGCCCTTCGACTGGAGTCTTAAGATCCATTTCTAAATTCTCCTCATCCATTCGCTGGTGATTATTGCGCTTATTGCCACTGCTTTTTGTGTTTAACAATAGCTGCTCGTCTAAGACGCAAGCCATTTCGTCGCTATCAACCATTGTGTACCATTCGTTGTTTATTATTTTTGTATACCGTGAAGTTAGCTGTGCGCACATTTTACTCTTAAGTGAAGTTGGCTGCGTGCACGAATTGATGCTCGCGTAAGTGTGTACTTATCAAATCAAAAAAAAAACATAATTAAAACAGCAGCTAAACAAAACATTGCTATTCTAATTGTTCGCTAAACTAAATCTGCGGTGTACGTGTATATATAAATTAGATGAAACGATACATCCACTGGCGGCACGTGTACACCATTTTAGATAAACAACAACAACACTCTCAAATACATAAAATACTACGCAGAAAGCAACCCAAGCGCAGCTCCCACAGGGAGGTTAGAAGACAATTCTATAAACCATTTAAACTTCAACGTAAAATATTGAATCACTGAACAACTGTAGTGTTTACCTTGTGTGAATTAAGCGCGCGTATTAAGCGATTTGTCAAAAATTCTGCTTGGCAATGTCAATTTGACATGTTATACTGTCACGTCTTAGGTAAAGTCTTATACTAGGAGCTGTTGATAGACGATATCACAGTAGGTTTCGATAACAAACAAATTTTCAGGCGAGAATTTTCAAAATAAATAAATATGCAGTAGGAGGCCATGATAAATTTGTGGCAGCTTGAAAATGTCGTCTAGTCAAAGTTAGTCTAATTTCAAAGCCGGTGCTGTGAACACAAAAATACGAAAATTAGAAAATATATAGAAGATATTTATTTACTATTTTTTTTTGTGAAAAAAGTTTTTGAGGAGCTGCAAGTCATTCCGTGCTTGTACTCCTTTTTTTTGTTGGTGTTTGCTGTGTGTAATCATGATCTCGCCGGAACAGCATGAAGTTGATTTGGTGTTGGATCGCCAAGTGCGCCGGAATATTCAGGACATGATGCACGAGGCTGATGTACAAGCGAATTTGTTAGAAAGCGAAGGTTAGTACCGGCATCAAATCTATATGTGACCTATTGACTGTTCGATTTAGGCGTTTCGGGACGTGAGCGCTACAACTCGGAATCCAGTATCGACCAGGATCATTTACAGCAGGACACAATGGCGGTGCTGGGCACCCTATCTGCAGATGAGATTGTCGAAGAGGACCAAGACTCTGAGCAAGCGGTTCAGGAAATACAGAACTTTCATGATATGCTGGTAGAAACGCACATTGATGTCAATGGTTCGCTTAGAAAACGTCGCGGCAATTTGCCAAAGCACTCTGTGAAGATATTGAAACGCTGGCTTTACGAGCATCGCTACAATGCGTATCCCAGTGATGCAGAGAAGTTTGCCCTCTCCCAGGAGGCGAATCTAACCGTGCTTCAAGTATGCAACTGGTTCATAAATGCTCGTCGGCGCATTCTGCCAGAGATGATACGCCGCGAGGGTAATGATCCTTTGCATTTTACTATCTCGCGCCGTGGTAAAAAAATAAGCCCAAACTCTTCGGGTTCCATGGGTTTAAATATTAACTGCGCCCCAAATCCCATTACAGGCAGCCCTGCCTCGGAAGTGGTGAGATTTATATGTAATCACGATTGATCAATTCATACATCTTAAAATATTTCTTCCAAAGGTTGTTGGCGCTACAGAGGAGGTGCACAGTGCCGCTGAAATGCATGAGGGAATAGCCAATGTACTCACCAATTTCGATGAATATGTGCGTGCACCCAATGGCCAGATAGTCAAAATGGAGCCAGAGTTCGATGAGAGTGTTATTTACAGGTAATGCTCAGGTTGCTTAAGTAATTAGCCTGTAGCCAAAAAACCCTTCCCCCAAGTTGGCAACAAGCAATAGCAAACAATCCGATGGGCTTTCAGAGGCTGCACACATCGTTGCAAGCTACCATAATCGATAAGATACAAAGCTATCAGTTGCGCAAGGCGGCCATGAGCGATGGTAGTACCAGCAGTAGCAGCAGCAGCAGCTATAGCGCCAGCAATTCCATGTTATCATATAGCCCTTATGGCCAACTGCCACCCGAGTTCGATGAGGACAAGCCAAGGAAGCGCGGACGCAAACGTCAGACCGAGCTGAACAAGAACGAGACTGTGGCAAATAAAATAATTAAGCAGGAACGTGCCCAAGGGGACCAACAGAAACTGTATCTGTCTAAAGCAGAAGTATTTTCTAAACAGGATGATTGCAATGGTTTTGTGGCTGCGCTTAGGTAGCTTCATGCTTTAGTTTTAGCTTATAAGTTTGATAGGAGCTTGCCGTCAACTGTCGCAATTAATGGCCACGTTTTCATTCATAGATCTGAGGGTGAGGAAAGCGGCCATGACTACGAGTCCTGCGAGCAGGTCAGCGAGGAAGAAGTGCGCTTTGAGACCTCTGATGACTGGCAGAGTGTCATCAAGTAAGTATTTCTAGATTAAGTGCAACACGTCATGACGCTAGACGTAATGAGTGGAGACGTACAACCGTGATCCCTGTTATACATGTTGCCAAAAACTTCTATGCGTACAAACAAAACTACACTGTTTGCTCTCTACCTATGCACTTTCTTAATGCTATGCAGGACCGTTTTCAGCACCGAGGAAGTGACCACCACCAAAAATAATGCTAGTGCTTCCAATTGTGATCCAGTCCCCACGCAGATTAAGAGTGAGAGTAAGTATGTCTATCGAGATATCAAAATTTATAGTTCTCACGCCGTTTCTAAAATTATAGGCACTCAGCAACTACTGGATCATATGTTAGGCGCCGAGGCAACTATTGTGACGAGTTCGAATGCAGATGATGGCGTTGCATGTGCTCCAGAGCAGGAAGAAAATGCTACCATAAGAGATAATGATAATACACAAATTGAAGCGCAAACACCTCCACGTCAAGGTGCAGTAATATTGAATTAGATTAGATAGATGCGTTGCATATAACAATAGATTACTTTCAGCTTTAAGTCGTGAGGAACGCGATAAATATAAATGTCTTTATTATCTTGTGGAAACTGCTATGGCTGTGCGTCAGAGCGACAGCGGCCAAGATGAAGAACTTGCGTACATGGGGAACTATCTGAATAACTAACCTCTTAATCAAAGATTTACTGTACATATTTATCAAGTATTTGATTTAAATTCAAGCGTCTGCTTGCGCTTGTTAAACTTATTGAAGCGCGTTAGCGATTTTCTAATTGCTTACGTATCGTTTGCAGAGACACTTCACAAATACATATTGAAAAAAATCTTGTTTTTAATCCTAGGTGACAGGGTTCAACATAAACAATTTGTTGAATATGACGGACAATCTGCCCATGCAATTAAATGTATAACATTAACATACCTTGAATTTGTTCTTGTGGCAGTAAGCGGTGGAGGTGGCGCGACAGGTTAAGTTGCGACGGCCAATGGTTGAACGCAGTGTAATTCACAAAGGAAACGTTTGCTGCCTCGTGGTTTTGTGCATTTTGCGGGACTTAGCATTCACATTTTGATATATTGATATTGGCACAAAATTCCACTTATTAATGTTTGCCCGAAAAGTAACGGTTAATCCACCGACGCACTTGTGGCACGATAGGTTAAAATTGCGAAGGCAGTTTAATTTACAACGAACACGTTTGCTGCTCATGGTTGTGCGCCCTTTGAGACTTACATTATTATTCATTATTCACATTTTAATATATTTACACATATTGCACTACTTATATTTTGCCCGGAAACTAACGGTTAATGTAGCGACGCACCGACTAAACGCGATAGCAAGAGTTTCGATATGTAGCATTCGTAATGTCAGTATCTTTAAATTGCTGTTGAACGGCCACACTGCAAATATCGAATGTTACAATTTAGGATTTAAATGGTTTTGGGTGACCACAGCTGTATGTACAACTATTAGTGTTGGTAAAAATAAGCTACGGGCAGACGAAGTGGAATTTGTGTAAATAATAATATATTAAAATGTGAATGTGTAATATTGAATGCTGTAAGTCTCGCAAAACGCACAATACCACGAAGCAGCAAACGTTTCCTTAGTGAGTTAAACTACGTTCAACCATTGGCCGTCGCACTTTTAACCTGTCGCGCCGCCTCCACCGCTTGCTGCCACAAAAACAAATCTTTCGCTTTTGATAGATAGCGGCTTTGTTGAAGAGGAGACTTTGGTGGCACAGAGCATATTCAGGACATGCAAAGAGCATTTCACATTGCGGTGTGGGTCAGTATCTAAAATGTGTACTTTATGCTCGTCTGTAAGTTAACTGTGTACTTGGGTCGTCTTCGCATCATTTCGTTTCGGCTATTTGGAATAATACTTTCAGTTTTCGTTTGCGTTTCTTTGTGTCAGTACTTGCGTCACCAAAGCTGTAGTTGTCGTACTTGCATTTGAATATATGTGTATATATGTATGAACATTCACTCAACATTTTGTTGTTGCTGCCGCTCCGAGTCTCAGATATGATTTTGTTTTCCACTCTGATAATCGAATAAGTGCAAATTTTCATACTAGTTTTCTTCGGCTGTCTTATCCGGTAATCTTATTAAAATTTATGTCTTAATTTATGTTGTCGGTTTATTTCAGAATGTCATCTAATATAAATACTACATGAAAAAATGATATAAACACATTTCACATTATAAAATATATGCGTATATGATTTGTAGATTCGCACTTGATAAATTAAAATGTTCTCTCTTATTTTCACTCAGCTGCTCACATTATTTGGCGCTTTGCTTTTCTCCCATTAACCCCACTGGCTATTTTTAAGCACGTGCCGTTGACACTCAGACCTATTTTACTCAGGCAATGATTACCCTTAAACGTAGACGTACAGCCAAGAGTAAATTAAATTTTAGCTCATAATTTGTTACAGTTGGAAAAAAATTACTACAAATAATAAGTGACACAGCCTGTGGAGCTGTGGCTGTTAAGGATGCGTCTTCATATATCACTCGATTCCAATTAATAAAGGAAGCAACACCTCTCAGTACAATAATGAGAAGTCAACCCCAACAGCAAAGGGTCAAATGCTTGTCGATGCCGCTGCGCAGTTAGTTGCGCCTTCGCCTTCGTCTACATCAGAGCATCGTCCCATACCGTCACACTCAGCTCGGAATTCTTTTATATAGAGGCCTCAGTCTACGCTCTATTTTGTCTAGCTAGCGTATTAGCATCGTTGTCTCTCTAATTCTCGCTCTCTCCCTCTCTCTCCCTCTCTCTCTCTCTCTCTCTCTCTCTTTCTCTGACGTAGTCTCTATTTGCTCAGCAGTGGCTGCCTGTTTGGATGCCGCACTTGTTGTGCCACCAACGCAACGCATCATTTTCAGTTGCAATTATAAGCCACACGGGTTCCAACTGAATTTTGTGTGAATTTTAAACAAGTTTTTATTGGACATAGGCCGCACTATGCGGGATAAATATAAATAAAGCAAATTGAAATGTTGTGCATATCTTTAGCATGGCAATAAGCATTTGTTGTTGTAGCTCTTATGTCTACAAGTTTTCTGATCGAAATGCTGTTGCTCCGACGGTATGTGTTGCAGGTGTTAAACGATAAATTCTCAATTTATTATTGCTGTGCGGATTGTTAGGCATTATTAGACAACAACTTCAACTGGCATTGCGCATACGTTTCTATTTGGGTCACACACGCGCCATCTAGCCGGATTATCCCCCATCCATCTTAAGCGGCCGCAATCTTAGCTATTGGGTCATGAGATCATAATGCGCACGATAAGCCACACTGCAAATTGAACAGCCCATATACGTATGAGTTGGGCGGGGGCAATGCCTGTCTGGGCTAAAACTATTTTTAGTGTTTCGTGCACTAAGTGAGTAAGAAAAACTGAACTCTTGTTCTGATTCTGCAAAAAAATAAAAGAAAAAAAGACAATATGGCGAATCCTTGGCGAAAGTGCATTTCGGAATATATTCGAGTGTGTGCGGGCCGTAGGGTGCCAGTTAATGCATGCATAATTAGATTTATTACATCTACATTACCTGGGCACAGCTGCTGCCTCCTGTCCGTCATCCTTTGCAAGTGTGTCGACAATACAAGTTTTTGTTCCAAGCGAACCCTTTTTCTCAGCAGCCGCCTATACATTCGAAATTGCCACAAATAATGAGAGCTTCTAACAAGTTGCTTGTTACCATTTTTTAGTATGTAACTTATTTGTTGGCTTTTCTCCAAGTTCTGTTGTCAAGCCTGGCTTCACATTACGGGCGATTTGTTTGCGGCCATATTTTCTTTATTGCCGTCATGGGACGAGCAAAACGCGGCAGAGACAACAACGCGTGTGTGTGGGTCGGTAAGTGGGTAGGTGTGTGCCTCCTACACCATCATATATAAGTCTTTTCCCGAATAGGGGCCCTTTTCACGGTTAACGGTAATACTCTTGCCGCTTGTTAGGCGTCATGTCACTCTTGGCCTACTCAATCGTTATATTTAATGCGAAATCAATCAGATTAGCTTTGATGAGCGTAAAGGCAAAAGTATTACGGTTAAGGTTCCACAAAGTTTAGTGGTTCAGTTAAATTTGCTCAAGTACATTTTTATTGATATTTTTGTTTATAACTTGCTAGCAGCAAACCTTTTCATCTGGGATATGCATGCTTAGAACTAACAGCTAACATTAACAATACATTTGTGTGTGTTACAGAGGAACCTTAATGGTTTGGGGGCAAATGCAAAAATCACGCAACCCGAGATCAAGATTGCTAAAGAATAGTTGGTAGAAATCGGGGAAATTACCTAATACTAAGAATACTCAAGGCATCGGCCAGAACAACACACATCGCAGACTGATTTCTCTGCTCTTAACTGTCTTAAAAAATAAAGCACATATGTGATATATATCGTATTGTAAATTTTGAACTTATGCATGCCAAGAAACATTTGAGTTTCACACATAGCCGCTGGATTCAAGCTTTAGGGCGCCCTCGTATGTGGGTAGGCCCGATATGTCAATGATTTTGCTCATGTCCAGACTGACGATGCCGTTCTCGTTGATATTGTCAATATCCAGGTTGGCGTCCAGGTGGCCGTTTTCAGCAACCACAGCTACAATTGCAGTCGCTGTTGCCACTTCTGCTGCTACTGACATCGCTTCTGCATTGTCATTTTCGTCTACGTCGCTATCAGTTGCTAACGTTCCCTCAGTTGTGCTGTCCACCACATTTCCATTTGCTGCATCAGCATCAATTCGATTTGGAGCTTCTATGGCCGCTTGCGGCTGCTGTTGCTCAGCACTTGCGAAATTGTCATTGGCATCGTACTGTTCCGGGACACTCTCCACAGATGCCGTCAACGCCTCGTCTTCGGACGCGTAACGAAACTTGCCGCACAATGGACAGCCGCGTCTGTAGTGGCTGTGCTGCTGCTGATGATGTTGGCTGTACTGCAAGTAACGTCTCCCGAAACTATTCAGCCGCATGGCCGCCTGGGCATGTTTGCGTGCCTGGAGTGCTAGTGGTAACGGCAAAGGCGATGGCGATGGCGAAGGCATATATGTGTCCAGTTCCTGGCAATGACCATTGCGCGCAACCACTGCCGCTGCGGCTGCGTTCCACATGTTTTCCACCTCGGCACGCTGCAGAGAGCAACAGGATTGAGCATTTAAAGTGCGCTGCAATTGCTTGTTAACCAACAGTGCGCCAGCTCCGGCACTACTGCTGCAACTGCTGCTCCCTGTAATGCCATCGGCGCTGCCATCGCCACTTGACACCCCCATTACTTGCTGCACGTTGCTTATATCCAGCGTGGAGCGATATCCAGGCGGCGGCGAGACTCGTTGTAAAAGTAGTTGCTGTTGCTGTAGCTGCAGTTGTTGCTCCTCCAGTTGTTGCTGTTGCTGTTGCAACAGCTGCTGCTCGTGCAAAACAACAGCGTCATAGGAAGGCGGCGGCTCATGATGCAAGGCCGGCAAGGTGGCTAGGCCGTCCGTTGAATCCCCCAAAAAGAGACCCGAAGTCTCATAGCACTGAAAACCAGAGAAATGGCTAGTTAGGTAAGTCAAGGCGCGATTGTAGGCCTTTAGTTGTGCCTTTCTCAAAAATAATATTGCGAAAAAGGAAATAACCGCTGCACAAATAAAAATGTTTAAATTGCACACACATCATAAATTTACTTATATCGGTAACTCCGATATAACAGTTCTTCTCCAGTAGCCCATTCTCATACTGCCGTTGACAACTTTAGGTGACATGAACCGAGTAACCGTTGATTTACGCTGGCGATGGCGACTACGTCTTTTCCCACAGGGCCAACAAACAACAATAAGTTCTGTGTTATTGTGCAAGTGGGATGAACAGCGGCCCAACAACTTATTAAGGCCCATAGCAAAGTAGAGCATAATGTCCACTTCTAAAGGGAGCTTACAGTACCGCCAAAGCTAGCCGTTTTTTTGTGGTTGTACCTTGTAAATGCTTTTCGGTAGCATACATTACCGAATCATGTTTTAGATATGGTGCAGAAGTTGAAACGCATTTGGCGCCAAAAATACACAAACAAATAAAATATCGTGCTAAATTCTGGTTTTGAGACTTACAGCATTAAGCACAACATAAAACTTTATCTCTGGGCTCCCGGAAGCAAATTAAAATGTTTTAAAAGCAATCTCAGTATTAAAGGTATTTTATATTACCTGTTCAACACTATAAATTTCCATATTGGGATCATTCTCCAGCCATTGATGTTGTTGCTGCCTGTAGGCGGCCTCAGTACGCTTTTTGATATTGCGATGGCAACAATAGCAAACTACACATAAAATTGTAGTCACCAGGCAGAGCATAGACCTACAAATCAATAATGAGATAGACATAAATATTTTTTGTTCTTAGTCAAATATAAAATACCCTTGAATAAAAGCCCTTTTACCTCAGATCTATAACCGTGAAGCGAGAAGTCCCGAGAAATATATGAATCAAGCAGAATATTTGGACAATATCTATAGCTATAGCATTTGTTATAAACTTTTGTCAAGAAGGACTGTATAATGTACATTTTTTCACAAGTACAATCTGATTACAATGTTTATGGTCAGGAATTTCTGACGAAATTCGACTCTGATTTGGCCTATATTAATTCTGTTGAATTAATTAACGTAACAATTAAATTTTAACAAAAACATGCATACATACATATGTGTTATTACATTTCGTAATCGTCCCGAAGAGCACGCAACCATATGGGTTTACAAATAGATAAAAAAATATCCCGAAAAGCAAATGTTATTCAATACAGTGTCACTTGAGGGTAAAAACAAATTTTTGTATTACTTTTGTAATTATAGCATGTTGTCGCAAATGTGTTTAATTGGGAGAAGATCGGGAATAACGGAAAATCATTACGTATACGTAATTTGTTATCACAAAGTTCCCCATGCAACCTAGATTATACAAATATTAGTGGGGTAATTGTAGGGTTGACTAATCTGCTCCTCAAATCTGTGACACGTCACACAAATCAATGATGTCACTTAATCCACTTTAAATCCAACATAATGCGGTGCTTGTCCTTTGTCCTCCGACTTGTTTTCAGCGCCTCCTTTCCCACACTGCCACGCCCTGGTTGCTTTGCTCATTTTCCGTTGCGGCTCACGCAATTCCTCGCATGTCAACAGTTCATTAATGGCCCCAAAAGCGTTCGATAACGTGGGGAGTAGCTAAAACTATCAGCGGCATGTGCAGCCTTTTCTTTATTTATATTTTGTTAAATTTCATTGACATGTAGACAATCGATAAAAATGTGGTTAAAATAAAGTTACGGTGTTCATGGCGCGTGTTGCTTGCAGACATGAACGTTCTTATCGGCACTTTAAACGTTTATTTTAACACTCATTTTTTAGGCCACCCAATTCCAGTACTTACTGATCTGAGCTGGTGTTACAAAAAAAAGTAATTTAAATAGCTGACATTACAATTTTTTATCTGAAGACGGAGAAAAGAAATGGGACCAATTATGAATATTGTTACTTTGTCATGTCAGAGTTAGGCAAAGGAACAGACATCCTAATATCTTCCTCTTCAGACTTGCATGAATTTTTTATGTTATTAATTTGCTGCTTTCTCATAAATCATAAGCAGAACCATTTTGCACATGATCTATGGTGCAGTAACAGTAGCAGCGTTGTGGGATGATGAAATATTATACATGTATGGGGTAATGAACCATTATAACAATGAAAATACCTCATTTAATATAATTCAATAATGCGTATATTAGATTAAACAGTCCATAAAATTGACGCTGGCATGAGTAGAAGTTTTTTTTTTTAACTGCGTGTATCAGCGGAATTTTTATTTAATTGAAAGGCAAATATGCATTCTACATTAAATTTGTATTGCTTGCAAAAAACATATACTCGTCAACGTTCACTAGTTGTTTTAAAGGAATTTGATTCAACTTGATTTTAAAAACATAATAGAGGATTCCTTAAAGTTAATTCAATATAGAAATTATTCCAAGTTTCATTAAATCTATTGCTGCCTCTAAACTTCCCAGCGGTTGTATTTTATTAATTTACAATTATGCGCTTGTCAAACTGTCAGTTGCCAACTTTACGAACTGCAGCATATAAATGAATAATTGCAAGTGAATAAAGGAGCTGGAATCGGAGAAGCCAGCCTGCCAGCATCACTCACCCGCCAAGCAGAAGATTCACGCTGCCATTGACAACGTGAGCGTAGGTCTGTGAGCTGCTGCCACCACTCGTCCCGTGACTGCTGCCGGAGCCGGCTGCGCCATTGAGCAGTGATATTCCACCGCCAATGCCACGCTGCTGATTATAGAGGCCCATGCCGCCATTGTAGTAGGTGGTTATGGAGGAGCTGCTGGCAAGCTCTTGGGAATGCTGCAGCTCTTCCTCGCTGCCGGATTGAGATGATGAGGTTATTGCTGAGGCTGTTGCTGTCGTTGTCCTTGCTGTTGACATGACTGTTGCATTGTGTAGCTGCAGCTGCTGCGGTTGCTGCTGCTGACTTACCGCCGCGATTATTGCATAACGTTTCAAAGACATATCCCTTTTGGCTTAAAGTTAGACGATTGCATAACAATTAGCCAAGGCGTATTATAGTGCCCATAACACAAATACACTGACCCACGCACACACAACACACCTGTACAGGCCTTTAATTGACGCACGCAGTGCTCAGCACATCAGTATAACCATTGCCACACGCTGCAAGCTCTAGAGTAAACCAAGGACATCGGCCCTGCCTACTTAGTTCTAGCCTCGTGCACGTAATGTACGCCAGCCTGGCATGCGAACTAGAGAGGTGCGATCGATGGCCAAGGTAACTTGCCACCAACAATTTGTACAAGTGTTTCTATTTCTATATATTCGCTGATTATTTAGTAACTTTTTGTTGAGTGATGCCGCGTCGCGTTCTGTTCGCGTCTTAGCGAATGCGTTGCGCTATTGCAACTGAGTCCCGGCTTGACTTGCTGACTAGCTGGCAGGCTGACTTGGCTTATCCTTTTGTTGTATGTCACGACGAAGTTGTTAGGCAACCGAAAACGAATCAGCTTCGGCTGCTGCTCGGCTAACAGCCGTTGCTGTTGCTGTTGCTTTTGCTGCTGCCGTTGCTGTTGCTGTCACTGTGCGCCTGTTACAATTTGTGCCGCCATTTTGCTCTTGCTTTTCAGGCTGCTTTCCCTTTTCAACAGCAATAATGGCGGCCAAGCACAGCCATTTGTATTGAGCTTCCTTTTTGTGTGACTGTTTTCGTCGTCTCCTTTTATGTGCATGTGTGCGGTTCCTGCACGTTTCACATCAAATTGAGCGCCAACTGCTTTTGTTGTATGCATGATTGTTGTTGTTTTTGTTGCTGTTGTTGTTGTGGCAACCGTGCATGCCATTTGAACAACACTTGTCGCCAACTGTCGTTTTTCGCGGCATGCGACCATAAATAATAACGCGACTCTAAGGCACAGTCGATGCACTGCATATTGAGTATGCGATGTGTGCACTTGGTCTAATACGCAATATTTGTAAAGAAAAAATGTATACTTACTCTAATTGTTAATTTTATTTGGCTGTACATACTATACCATAAAACAGGACAGGAAGTAGGGCGCATTTATCAACGTCAATCTTCATAAGTATATTGCTTATACGCCGCATGTGCGCACAATATTCTAATACTGTACTGTATCCTTGTCCAGCAGCTCAGAAACGCTGGCAGGTGGTTCAACAATTTATGTAAATACTTGCACGCCATTTTTGGGACCAGCTCAAAACCCACCTGCCAGCCAGCAAAAATCTTGAAAGGCTGAAAAATCCGTACGAGTCGTGTTCATAGTAGTTACTTACACCTTGAGAGTCGCGCGCGCTCCCGTTAGGAGCACGTCCAGTATTCACACTTTTTGTTTCAACTTTTTAGTGCGGAATGCTTGATTTGTGTGGTTTATTTATAGTTTTGTGTGGCCTTCTAGAAAAAATTACCATTAAAATACATAAGACCAGTAGCTGTAGTTGTGGCAACAGTCCTTTAACAGTTGGCATAGGACAACACGACTCATTAGATTGTTCTGTGTATCGCTGTCACAGATGAGGCTCTCCTCCACAGACGAATCCCACCACATATTGTCCTCTGTGATGATGGATAGTTTTCGGCGCTTTTGCTCACTAAGCTCTTCATTGCGCACGCGCTGCAGGTAAGCACAGGTCGCAGCCCGTGCTCAATTCTATGCTACGTTGTTGTGACTGTAACTGTGCCACAATTAGATTTATCTAATGAGCCACCGCTGAAAGCTAGCAAACCTTATATTTCGGATGCATTAACTATGTATGTATACTATGTATACTATCAAGAATAATGAAGATGACAGACAGAAGATGTTTTATGCCATCTTCTGCACTTTTTTATTTATGAATATACCGTGCTGTGCAATAAAACGTTTTTTCTAACCAGCAAGCACCGCTTTGAAATTGACAGGACACACAAAATTGTAGACTATGTGGCACGTGTGAGGGCTTTTGACATGCTATATTTTACTGTGCAAGTCAATGTTTCATATTCTCAAATGTTATTCAACTTATATTTAAGTAAGATACACAAAAAGCTTGCAGCACAGGGTGCGCCAATTTGTTATAGGCTATTTAGAGTCCAGAAACTACCTACAATATAAAAGTGTACCAGCATAAAGCATTAGTCATCAGTCTGCAGACTTAACGTCGCAAGGTCTTGTCTCTTAACATGGGTGTGTTCGCATGGTTGTTTTATGTTTGCAATTGGGAGGCTTTAAAGTCGGACCCTTACCATTGATGTTGCCTTTTTGCTAAATTGTAAATGGAAAATTGACAAGCAATGGCGTAGGTGTAAAAGACTTGCTGAATATAAAAATGTCTTGATTAGTATCCTCAGTGTAATTGTATTAAAGTATTGAAGCTCTTGGTTGAATATTCATTATAGTATGATGAGACTCAAAGCTAGCTTCAATTTCTTTCTATTGCGTTTCGGACGCTATATGAAAGAAAAACTATTCGGCCATGAGTTTTTTGTGCCGTAAAATCCAAAACCAACAAGTTTCGTCCTGTTCCCTGCGCCTGGTAAGGAGCAATAGCAGCAGAGTGGGGTTCCTTTGATTTTTGTTGATTGTTAAGCCCAGTTCGATTTAGTTTCATCATCCAAATTACAAACGTTAATTAAAGTGCGATGGGGTCGTCCTTTTGCTGTCGCAGTTTCGAATGATAACAATGACAAGTAGGCTTTTTTTTTGGTATTGTTTCCGTTTGGGTAACTATTTCATAGCTTCGAGCAAAATTTACCAATTCTGTGTATGCGTCACGTGTTCGGATAGTATAGTATTAATAAATTTTTTGTCAAAATGCTTTTACTAAAAGTCTTTCTTTTTTTGGGTAAATAGCCTACGTTACCTCTTCAAGATGTCATTGGCCGTCTCGTTACGCCGTGCGTTGCTGGTGCTTCTCTCAGGAGCCATATTCATACTGACAGTTTTGTATTGGAATCAGGGCGTGATCAAGACACAAGCCTACAGCGAAGCACAGCCGCGGCTACACGTTCAAAGGGATCGCAATATTGATCCCATGTAAGTATAGTATGCCAGTTATAAGACTTTTTTGTCAAAATGCTCTAACCACTTTCAGACCGTTGGAAAAGTCATGGACCTATAAATGCGACCATGATAGATGTGTACGCGTTAATTATCACAAGAACGAAGACAACGCAAAGCGTGTCTCCTTCATCAGCTGCTCAATGACTTGTGGAGATATCAATATTTGGCCACATCCCACTTCCAAGTCTCTGGTCAGTGCTCACACACTGCGCTTCTCCGTGGAAGATGTACATCTGCGCTTAGATTCACCGCATCGCGACGTGCGCAAACAGCTTAAATTGGCCTTTGATTGGTTTATTAAGGAATTGCGACAAATACAGCGATTGGATTATGCATCGCATACAGATGAGATATCAATGGCAGCAGCATCAGTCAGCGAGCCCTCGTTCAGGTTGGGGCTACACAAAACAGACACAGACGTGGCAGAATCCCCACTGGCTGGATCGCTCTTTAGCGCCACTTTTGGATCACATCGCGTTGGCGATTTGGATAGTCTGCAGGTGAAGCTATCAGTGCATGGGTCAGATCAGCTAAACTTTAATCTGGACAATGACGAAAGTTATAAATTAAGCACAACTTGTAAGCAATTAAATCATTAACGACTCCTAACTCTTTCATTAACTCGATCTCTTCTGGCAGATGAGCATCGGCGTATATTGGTGCACATCACAGCGCAAACTTTTTTTGGTGCACGTCACGGACTGTCTACGCTACAGCAACTCATTTGGTATGACGATGAGGAGCGTCTGCTGCGCACCTATGTTAGCTCGCTGATCAACGATGAGCCTAAGTTTCGATATCGCGGCCTAATGCTCGATACATCTCGGCATTTCTTCTCCGTGGATGCCATTAAACGCACCATTTCGGCGATGGGCCTGGCCAAGTTAAATCGCTTTCACTGGCATATAACAGATGCCCAAAGTTTCCCGTATATTTCACGAAACTATCCTGAACTGGCAGAGCACGGTGCGTACTCTGAGAGCGAAACATACAGTGAACAGGATGTGCGCGAGGTCACCGAGTTCGCCAAGATTTTTGGCGTACAAGTACTTTTGGAAGTCGATGCGCCTGCGCATGCAGGAAATGGCTGGGACTGGGGACCTAAGCGTGGCCTTGGCGAACTGTCGCTGTGCATCAATCAGCAGCCTTGGAGTTTTTATTGTGGCGAACCGCCTTGCGGCCAGTTGAATCCGAAGAATAACCACACCTACCTCATACTGCAGCGCCTGTACGAAGAGTTTCTAAAGCTGACCGGGCCCACGGATATATTTCACCTAGGCGGTGATGAAGTGAATCTCGATTGCTGGGCGCAGTACTTCAATGACACGGATCTTCGCGGCCTGTGGTGCGACTTCATGCTACAATCTAATGCAAGGTAATGCTGCACACATTTTAAGATAATCTTTTTAAGCACGCTGTGACGTATTTTGGTACGCAGACTGAAGCTGGCCAATGGCAATGAAGCGCTCAGGCACGTTGTTGTCTGGTCCAGTGCGCTGACAAACACCAAGTGTCTTCCAAACAGTCAATTTGTGGTGCAGGTCTGGGGTGGGAGTACCTGGCAGGAAAACTATGACCTCCTGGACAATGGCTACAATGTTATATTTTCGCATGTGGATGCTTGGTATTTGGATTGTGGATTTGGCAGCTGGCGTGCAACAGGTGATGCCGCCTGTTCGCCTTACCGCACTTGGCAGAATGTGTACAAGCATCGTCCTTGGGAACGCATGCGACTAGATAATAAGCGGCGAAAACAGGTAAACTATAAATATAAATATTTGTGTGTATATCAATTATGCTCTCAATTTGTAGAGCTAGAAAATAATTAAGGCCTTTTTAACAGGTGCTGGGAGGTGAGGCCTGCTTATGGACAGAACAAGTGGACGAAAATCAATTGGACAATCGATTGTGGCCCCGTGCGGCAGCGCTGGCCGAACGCCTGTGGTCGGATCCAAATGATGATCATGACTTTGACATTGTACCACCAGAAGTATTTCGACGAATCTCATTGTTTAGAAATCGCCTGGTAGAGTTGGGCATCAAAGCCGAGGCGCTGTTTCCCAAGTACTGTGTACAGAATCCCGGCGAGTGCATTTGATATTATCTATAAGACAAGAGGCGCAACTCCCGCTCCCACTCTGTGCGTTAATTAGTTTATAGTGTAATTGTTATTTTTAATTATCGCAATACATATTAAGCGTTAAGCGTCCACTAAAACAATGCAAAAGAAAGCAAAATAAGCTAACGAGGCGACTTTTTCAAAGACATTTTGCGACCAAGTGGTTTCCGGCAGATCAGCCATGCGTAATCACGAATTTCATTATTTAATTTTAATTTAATTTTTATTTAATTATCTCAAACATACGCACACACATAAATCACATACGTAAATACCCAAACAATAACATAACTAGCATTTTGGCGATTGAGGATGTATTTAGTAAGAGTGACAGTGATAGTTTTAGGTAATATAGGAAATTTATAGATTTCATATACTCACATGCACACAACAGGTAAATACTTTGTAAGGCATACTTAGTTTAGAGAATTAATAAAATGGACAAGATAAACATGAGCATATAGGATGTACTTTTGATAATTTTAAAGCTTTATTCAAACAAAAACATGATATTGTTTAGTATACATACAAGAATAGATTGTATGACAGCAAATCGTTTTGTGTTTCGTTTTGTATTAGGATTATTTTAAATTACATTATCAGTGATACAAACAATGTGACCTTATAAAAAAATAAATAAATAGGAAGCAAACAAAAAACAAATGAAAATTTAAAAAATACAAAAAACTAGGGTTAATATACACATATGTAATCGTAACAACAAATTTTGCACGCATTGGCACGTATTTGACAAAAACTAGAAAACTTATAGCTAATTTTTTATAATTGTAGTAAAGCTGTCCACTGTGCAACTAATGAACAACTCGATCACAATATTCGGTACACCTCCATCTGAAATATTTGTAATGCCTGTTTTTGAAGCTGCACTGTGAACAAGTCTAATCTTAGTTGACCCAAAAAATTATGTTTAATATTATTTTGTACTTAAAAGAGATTTTGCAACTAAATATCAAAAATACGTTAATTTTAAACCTTTTCAACAAAAATAAACTTCAAGTCAAGTTTAAGCACGCAAACTTTTTTTTGGTATTTAAAAAAAAATGCACGTTTCAAAGTTGGCAAATGAAGTGTTATCATATCCTAATCGAGTTTTAAAATTGTTGTATTATAAATCACAAAAAAAACTGTTTGATTGGTTATCGTAACATGAGAACAATTGTAGGTGTGTGTTGGTATATTTTGTTGAGAGCGTACATATATATCAATATCAGTTTTGTCTAAACAAAATCGGTAAGATCAATGCTGTGACAGTGTTTTAACGAGCCAACACGTGTGTGCAGCGACGGCCGCAAACAGATTACACACTCCTCGGTGCTGTAAGAGATCGAGATGAAATTGAGAAAATTGATTTAAGTAAATAAATCCGTGTGTAATTATTTACAAAAGGTAATACTTTAATATTTTGCTCAATACAATACTTACAAACAAATAAACATACATACATATACATTAATATTATTATAAAACAGAAATCTCAATGGCGTATACGTGTTGTTCGGTACAAATATATTGATCATTCAAAATGTCCGGCGGGCACAGGACTTGACGAAGTAAGTCTACAATAATGATAAAAGTGGTAAAGTAATAAATAAAAAGAATTAAAACCGGAAATCAGAATATCAAAGAAAAACCCGTAAAATATGAGAATATCAAAAATTACATATTTATTCATGCAGTTCTTAGTAGAATTAGTTTAAACAAAAGGTGAGAAAGGCGAAGGATGCTACTACAAGGAAGGAGCATAGCGTATACGCACCGTAGACTTTCAGTACGCGAGCGCTGCGAGTAGTCTTTCGATGTGCGATGTCTGAAATGGAAATTAATTTGGTTAAGCGACAACAGCGAGCCACAGCAAAAAATGTAATGCACTGCGTAAAACATATAACATATCACAACAACAACACCCCAAATTAAATGCTTCAATGTATATATGAATTTATGTATTAATACCCATTTAAAAAGAATTTCAGCTTGTTGACGCACCTACGATTCTTAAGGGAGCTGCTGCGATGAATATTTCGACTCTCACGCCATCTTATGAAGCGATGCCGCAGCGTCTGGCGCACCTCAGAGTTCAGAAAGCAATAGAACAGAGCCACAAAGAAACCCTAATGATAAACACAGATCTTAGGAGAAATGTTGGTTACACCTGGTGGGTTCTTTATTCATTTACCTGTGTACTGAGTAAAAAGGCTCGCATTGCCTCAAAGAGATTACGGCTGATGCCCTGTTCGGGTCCAGTTAGCACTAGCAAATACGTAATACCAAAGAGGGGTATTAACACAAGAAGAGCCTTGGAGGCCTTATAATACTGTCGCGTTTCCAATGTGTGTGCTGAACGCAATTTGGTGATGAGTACCTATATAATGGAAAGTTTGAATGGATAAAAAGAATCAAAAACCTCCAAATGCTTAAACGCTTACCCACATAATGCGTATAAGAAATACTAAATTAATTAGAATCGCCAATGAGGCCGGCCCCTTGAATATCCAATCAATATGAGATTCACGCATCCAGGTACATTCAATTTCCAGCTACATTAATTATTTAGTTATCAACAATTGCAAAAGCCAAACTGATGACGCACTTACACCATTGAAATGCTCGTTCTCCAGATGCGATGCAAATGCCTTGGCAATGGACCAAAACAAAATGCAGAGCGCTGGACAGCCCCAGCCAATTAATGCATAGATAACAAAGCTTATGTTCTCGCTAGAGAATGTTTGCACGACCAAGGTGTAGAGATAGAGACCTGCAAAGAATTAATTTTAAAATTGATATATGGCTTATATTTAAGATAAAAGATATTGAGCTTACCTTCAACAAACATCCAGGAAAAATTAGTCAGATAAAAGTATTGAAACATAATGACCAGCGTTATGCAGCCAGCCTGACTAGATTCAGTTGTTATCTGTGGTGCAATTAGAAACCAAATGAGATTATGGCAAAATTATTTATAGGAAGATTTACTGACCACTTGCAGGAAAAGTGTTAAGATCCACAGAAGCGCTGAGGTGATGTATGTTAGAAATAGATTCGCATGTATTGTATTTCTTAGGCAGCGCAAATCTCTGCAGCAAAGACAAATGAATAGAATATTTTTAACCAGTTCATAAAACTCACTTAAAGCTTAGGAATATTATAAGCGCCACCACCAGAGTTGCAAAACTTATGAAATAACCGCCAGCATAGATAATCGCCGGCAGATCCACGCTGGCTGAGAAGTCTGGAACAACAGGCACCGAGCCCAATTGCTGATGGCAACTGCTATAATTGGAATAATGATTCCACGTACCGTTCGCATGACAAAAGCGCGTTGCATTCTCTGTAAACGGGAAAGGGCATAGAGTCCATTCTTTTATTTCATAATCCCATGCTCACCTGTTGTGTCGTAGTGGACACCCTTGAACTCCTCGAAGCAGGGTAAAATAGCCCAGGTACTGGCGCTGGTGCGAGGCCAACAGAGCACCGAATCAAAGGAGGTGGGACAATACAAGGTCTGCGACCGACATAATCACAGGATAAAAATTCAAAAATAATTTTTAGTGAACTCATACAAAAATAAATACGTATACGCGACTATAGAAAAATATAAACAAATGCTGGACGAGTAGTTTTTTGATTGCCTGCCATTAAAAATAAATAGTCAAACATTTATATTAACTATTTATATGACGGAATATTTGGTTATCAACTTATAAAACAGAATTAAAATATAAAAAAAAATTTGGTGCATCATCAACAGCAACAACGTTTTGATTAAAATTGAAATTGGCCTTATCAGGCACGTCAGTTAACTTTTGCTGATGTCACACTATGTTTTGATTCGATTAAAAAAGAAATGTTTCGATTCTCCGTACATTAGGTCGTTGTTGTATTTAAAATTAAGCAACAAAAAATCCTAGTCAACGTTTTAATTAACTCAACTCACCGGCTTGTCAGCTGATGCTTTGCTACTGCTATATTGGTCTATCCCCGTGTGGCTTAAATGCGGGCTTGAGTATAGGGCATCTTGCTGCTCAGCCTGTTGCTTGCACTGGTCCTCCAGGGTGCGGTTAATGAGTATATCACCGCTGTGCGGCTGTTGGGTGCCAATTAGCGCGCTGGCTCTCTGCAGCATCTCTAGCGAGAAGTTGGCAATGGCATTGGCAATGTTCTCCGCCGAGGCGTCATCGAGGCGTTCCACAAGTGCTTGCAACTCGTCCTCCGCCATAGCGCTTGCCACAAAATTAAGTTACCAAGAATGTGGCTAACTGCTTGGTAATTGGTTATTGTGTATTTTCAGCCTTCAATCAGCTAACGTATTGAAGTACACTGTTGCACTGCTCTGATGCACATCTGTTGCCGTCTGCCGTCTATCTATAGCCAGATGAAAGTGCCAACCATACGACGAACTTTTTATAACAATCGCTATATTGTTTGTTCCTGACGGTGAACATGCCAGCAGGACGTCATTTGTGTGTGTCTATGTGAGTGTGGACAGGGGACGGCGGGTGCTGAACCCGGGGCACACTTTCGTATTCGTGCTACACGCTGCGCTGCGCAATTAAACGGTTCACTTTAGACAGAAATTGCGCAAATATGTTGATGAGCTGAAAAGTGAAAAAACTTCTGGGTGATATCTGCTTAACTGATAAAATCAAGTACTCGACTTATTCACGCACTATTCAAGCTCCCACTCGAGAGATTTGCAAGGCCCTCTCAAAGAGGCACACATATAAGCATATGTTCATATGTATACTGCACACACATCTAGATAGATATGCCGCTGAGTTGTGCTATTTGATTTGTATATATGGTACATATATGTAGAACTTATAAAAATCTGTACAAATAATACACGCTTAAATCACGTGGCGTTGTCTGTATGTGCAGATAATATGCAGATAAATAAACAACAATCTTTATGGCCCCTACACTTTGGGCGGGGCTACTGTGACTACCATACACCCCGATTTCAAAGGGAATATCTCTAATTGTATACCTTTTCAGTAATATGTATGTATACCCTGTGTTAACATGCCAGTTAGAAACCATAGAATACCTGACCAGCATTACAAAATCTGATGACAACTAGTTGTTAGTGAAAACTGGTTGCTCTTGTCGGCGTTTTTTGCCTCTTATTAACACATTTGAGATAATCTCTCCTTCGTTTATATTATCTGCAAATTGTGCTACTAATTGTACGAAACATTATATTATTACACTCGTGTCGTTCGCGAGCTATACGAATCTAGCTTATTTTGGGAACTTATTCACATTTAACTGAATCCTGAAATGGCATTTAATTGTTGTAAGTGGGATAAAATCCAAGCTGATTTCAAATATTCTCATAACGAAAATTTGCCCTTAACTTCCTTCCACAGAACAAAGCTATAAAAATAGGAGAGAATGTTGCCCACCTAGATGATTTTATATAAAGATACTGCAGGTGGGTATTTATATATGCACTTGAGTCTCTTCTTATGCCTTAGACATTTATTCAAAAGTGGAGACACATACTGGGACTTAAGCATTTCCCAAAACAACACCAACGAATAGGTAACAGGCAAGTTTGGGGATATTCTGGACATCTCTATAATGTTTGCGCTGCTGTCCTCGACGAGGGAATTGCCGAACGAAGCATGTTAATTACCTAATACCCAAGTTAGTGAACTACAAAAAAAGATATATATATATTAAAAATACATTTTAAGAAATACACAAATAATATATGTGTATATATTTAGTTGGCAGAGGGGCCAGTGCAATAGCCGCAGTCGCCTATTAACTTTGATCTTGACCACATTGACAGACTGAGGTCAAAAATTGCAAACAAATTATTTAACTTGGTGGTCATGCATTTCCGGAGAGCCAATAGTGCAGAACCAGATCCCCTCTGGGCTAATACGCCAACGGGGTAACCAATCGGACAAGTGCCACTAAGTGGCGCATGCCGTGCTCAAATATTTGGCGAGCTGCGATTTATTTATGATGCTAAGGGCAAACAAGCGCAATATTTGTACGGGTGCGTTAGATTATGATTTTTATTTTGTTGGTTAATAAGCCTTGTGGTAACCATTCCATTAAAGCAGCTAATTTGGCTGCTAATGCGCACAATTAACAGCTAAAGCGAAATGCAAATAAACAGGCATCGCAGCTGCCTTCAATGTAAATAGAGCAAATATTCTCCTGATGGCTGCAACGACTCAGATCAGCGTTATAATATTATTATTTATAATATTTACCAGGCTGCTGGATGCGATCTTTAAATGATTCATAAAGTGTCAAAACAAATGAAAACAATAGGTAGGTAAACCTTTAATTGGCATTTCACACATATGGGACCATATAACTATATAGTACGGGGGTATTATGATAAAGAAAACGTCAACTCGCTGATATCATGAGACCCTATCAATTATATGTCTCTTTGAGGCTATTATCGGCCTAAATGAGCTGCTTATTGGACATGCCATATGCTGTATGACCGTTTCAGCGTGATAAAAACCACGTAAAAACTAAAAGGTCACACAGCAAATTTTATGAATGAAGAAAACAAAGTGAAACCAATTGGAATTGGAGCTGGAGACGTCGTCCGCACGGGCGCAAATCAAAACCAGATGCAGTCAGGCGAGTTGACCGATATTTATGGATGTCGGAAAGCAAATAAATAGCTTGTTTGCGCGCTGGACAGTCGCCTGTCCAGCTGCTCGACTGCCTGCCCGATTGCTTGAATGGCTGGTTTCCTGCCCCAACGCAGTCCCCGTGGCCAATTGGCTCGGTGGAGTCGACACACAAAAGGCAAACAAATTAAAGCCAAACAAAACAAGCAACATTTAGTATTGATGTGCATGTGGTTATATAGCCATAAGTTTACAAACTACAGGAAAAATGTTAAGACTCAATAATTGATGCCCACGCGGCGTATGGGCGATTGCCCTCATCAGAACCAGCAGCAGCAGCATTAAGTATACGCAGAGATCTCAACTTTTCATCTGTCTTAATTTTATATGCAATGGCATAACAAATATTTAAACACGATTTAAACTTCAAACAATTTGCGTTAAGTGGGGTAAGGGCTGCTTGGGGTGACCCTGTGTAAAGTTGTTTTATCTGAAACAGAAAGTGGGCAAAGCAAAAATTTAATTTGCAATTAATATATAAATTTCAAAAGAAGCTGCAGACATGTTTATTGCCTTTTGGCTGAATATGTACGTATCCAAGCCGTAGCCAGAAAAGAGCCCATAAGCAATATGTAATTTCTTAAACAAATTCATGAGTTTATATATACGTTTGTTTTATCTTTGTTTTAATATCTATATGCATGTGTAAATACGTGGCCTGCAATCTTTTACAGCCACAGCAACGACTCCTATTTCACCTAAAAACAATGACGCAGCTTTTGGAGTACTATTGAAATCAATTAGCGTAATGTGGGTGTGGCATGAAAATACTGCCTTTAGAGCTAAGTTCAGCTACTGCATATTATAATTATTTGCACTGACTGCTCTTCAGAAAGTGGATCTCAGCTAACGCAGTTTGGAACTGATTTCCACTCGCACTCAGAAATCCATTTGGCTATCTTATTGAACTGCTTCCCTTGCCACTTAAGTGTAATTAAAATTTTCTATTTACCTAACAATTCAAATTCTAGAGCTATAAACAATAAGATGGTGCTACATTTCTTAAATACCCTATTTAAAAGAGAAATTTCGTTTACAATGCATAAAATGCATGCATGTTTTAGAGGACCTTAAATTATTCCTGCCACGGTATCCAGTTTGAGCGAAGTTTTGTTATTTTTAGCTATGTTTGGTAACGTTTACTTGTTAATTTAATTCAGATGCCAAAATGTGTGAATTTTCGAGTCTAGAGGGCTTTTAGTGAAAAATATATGGAAACTATGTTTTTAGAGGGATAAAAAAAAAATACATTCAAACATTTCATAGATATTTCCATACCGACTCAGAGCAAACAGGGTAACTTACAGTTGACTTACCTTACCCTTTTAGATTTGTTTTTCTTGGCTGCTCTTTTAATTTTAAATATCGTTGTTGGTGTTTTGTCTACTTGTGTTGTTAATGTTTCTAATCTTTCTATTTCGTATTTAATATTTATTTTCAGCACTGGAGGCAAATGAACGCACTGCAAAATGTTACAATGTTTATCTTTGGTCAACAGAAATAATAAAAAATATAAAAAGCCAGTGCAATCAAGCACGTAGGAGGGCCTCTACTATATATCTGAATATATATTATATACTGCATATATATTAGCATAAAATTATTGAATATGTATTGATGATTCAGGTTGCAAAATGTTACCTCATAGATATATTTTTCAATGATATGTGCAGAACCTGCCTAACCGGAAATTTTAGGTTCTTCTTCAACAGACAGACCTGCTATCCAAATTACATGGGAGAAACGAAGGGTAAGAAAGAGCATTTAAAGAATTTTGGCAGTATTCAAAAAGCTTCAATTTGTTTTGCTCGTGTACTTTCAAATTGTTTATGTGATGCGTCTAATCAGACGTTTATTCTTCAATTTAAAAGTCTCATTGTGTACCAATGGGGCGCGAGCTACTAAGTGATCAACAGCCTGCCTGGGGTCTCGACCTCACTTGGTTAAGAAAATATCATTTTTATAGCTTGTTTATTATCCCAATGTGCTAATGCAGAGTGTATTCACAATTAAGGCAATTCTGTTTTTTTATAATTCAAGTGTGAAATCAGTCGCATAGTCCCATACTGAAAAGTCAGAAGTCAGAATCATGTCATGGGTGGAACAAATGTTTAATTTACCGTCTCACCCACATCTACTCACTGGCTCACATGGCCGAATGTCAGTGCTGTCAGCTTTAAATGTTTATCGCCTTTATCATTTTTATTACTTAACTCACATATACACATATGTACATTTACTCAAAACTCACGCGTTGCTACTGAACACATTCAACTTTTGATCGCACGCAAACATACAATATTTTTTATTGCAGATAGCAAAACTTGAAATGTGAATATTATTTGCGTATTCAAATACAACTTAAATCAATCCCATCAATCCGGAAGTAATAAAAAGTTGCGAGATTAATATAGTAGTAACAACTACAGTGTTTTTGTTTTGGGTTTTGTGAATCCGTTTGCGAATATATTTTTAAAAAGTTTTCGGAGGCTGCGACGAAATTCACTATCAAGATAATGAATTCAACCGACAATGTCGTACAAAGCTCACGTCTAATAACGGCAACTGACAGCGATGAACTGCTGGCGTGAGCTTTCGCAGAGCGTTGTCTTGCTTTCGGTGCGGGAGCAAACCCCACACAAACACACGAGCACAGTTGCTCTGACGACGCCCACAAACAACACAGGATACGTTGGACGCTCGCAACAAGTTGTGGCGATGGCAACCCGATTAGGTGTGTGAGTGTGTAAGTTTTTGTGTTCGTGCTGCAGAAAGCTAGAAAGCTTTCGCTTAGATGAGACCGGCATTTTTCATACACTCTCCCCAATATAACAAGTGAGTATATTGGCTTGTGTCCGTCTGTCTTATCTAAAAAATGCAATCTTCGGGTACTATTTATGACAGAACAAAATTCTTATATATACCTGCTCCTACACACCCCACTTATTAAAACTGTTAAGATTTAATAACAGACCCACTAAGGCTATCGTACAGGTACGTACCACTAAGAACAGAGTAACTCACACACTGTTACTACTCGGTACAATTTTCTGAGTGGTTAGTTTCAGCATTTGCATTCAATTGGCCTTGAATATGACGATGTCGTTGTCAATGCCTTAATCTGATAACTGCAATTGACAATCAAACTGAATGGGCCGTTACATACTTTTTGTCGTTTACTTATTACTACGACAACTTATAAGCGCCCTGTGCTAAAACCGTAACAACAAGCAATATGCAATATTGTTGTAGAACTATAATGTTTACATTATTATTTAAGATATATCGTTTGAAGTCGTCATTGGCATGAACATGGATTCTCCTGGTCGGACTATATTTGCCCAAGATGAAAAAAATGCATTAGCTTTTTACAAATTTCAAATTGCTATAATGAATATATTAAATCGAATGTATTAAGTACGATTTTAAGGGGTATTTTTTTTCAAGCTCGTGGAAGTCCATAAAAACCGAACCTAATGGCAATTTTCTCTTGTTCAAATTTATTCATGTCAAAATGCTACCCTTAATTATCCTATATAGACATAGGTCAACATTTCCAACCCCCATAGCTCGGTCATAAGGTCTTCATGGTTTGGCCTCTAGATCGATTCTGCATCTAAATCTGGCAACACTATTTTAAGTCAAAATTCATGAGGAAATGGTAGTCCTAAATATCCGATATAGAAATAGATGAAAGTTTCCCACCCCCATAACTCGGACAAATCTCATCCGATTTTCAAAAGATTATGCTTTTGCGTGCGTGTGTATGTATGTATGTATGTATGTGTGCGGTCGTGTGTGTCCTAGTATATGCATGCATGTTTGTATGTATTTATGTATATATGTTTGCGTGCATGTTTATTTTCGAATACCAAACGCAGACAAAGCCTATTTGTCACTGTGCTGCAAATTTAAATAAAACGAATTTCTACCAAGAGCTCTCCTCCTCGATTCTCAAAAATTCATGTAGGCTCTGCTGAAATTCAACAATACAGGAAACGTTGGCGCCAGCGGCCGGTGGAGGAGCAGCTCGAGGCGGTGGACCAGAGGGCGGTGGTGTGGGTAAGTAGATAAGTAGGCATATATGTATGTATGGTGTATGTATGTATGTAGGTGTATGTATGTATGTATGGTGTATGTATGTAGGTGTATGTATGTATGTATGGTGTATGTATGTATGGTGTATGTATGTATGCAGGTGTATGTATGTATGTATGTATGTATGTATGCATGTGTGTGTGTGTGTGTGTGTGTGTGTGCGTGTGTGCGTGGTGTGTGTGTGTGTGTGTGTGTGTGTGTGTGTGTGTGTGTGTGTGTGTGTGTGTGTGTGTGTGTGTGCGCGTGTGCGCGTGTGTGCGTGTGTGCGTGTGTGCGTGTGTGTGTGTGTGTGTGTGTGTGCGTGTGTGTGTGTGTGTGTGTGTGTGTGTGTGTGTGTGTGTGTGTGTGTGTGCGCGTGTGATTATATGTATGCATGTATGTATGCGGAATGCATGAGTATGCGACGGCTGAAGCAATGGTGGAAGTGGCGGCTGTAATATTGGAGGAGGAGGTGACATGGGCTTGACGGTGGCGGCGGCATACATTTTAAATGTAGCCATTGAAAAAACTGGTACGTATTATCATGTAAAGCCATGTTTTATTATTTTTCAAATAGAAGTAACAAATATGACAATCGTATTTCAATACACACATGTTTGCATGTTGTGTGTATATTGAGCTGAAAAATTATTAATATTTTTTTTTTTATATGTATAAGTCGAATAAAGTTGTCAAACCTAAGGTAAACGTACAACACCTAGTTAAGTTTAGCCTGAAAAAGCTCACCCTTGAGGCTTGAACTCGTTTTTTTATACACCTTTATATATATAGTTTCCAAGTGGACTATACATTTAAATGCTTGCTGGGCGCCACATTTCACAGCTGCTCAAAGGTGACTGATGCCGACACCTGAAATCAATAGAAAATTGATGCAAATTTTTTTCAGCTTCGTTGACTCGCACGTCGTCCATGTCATGCCCAATGGCTGGTGGCAATCGGCCACAAAAAAACTGCGCAAAGTTCAAATGGAACAGCTGCGGAGCCGGAAACTCCTTTTCAAATGCATACGGCTGATACTCAAACCGCTGCGAGTCATGGCCCATGCCAAAGAACGTATCATATGCCAGTTGCAGGCCGTTTAAATCCGCTAGTCGCTCCCTCAGAGATTTTGTTGGCGTCTGCAGGACACACTGTAGGGCATTTTCAAATTTTGAATTTTGGCGTATGTGCATACCCAGTGGAGACTCGTTGCCGGCGAAATCGAAGAGTATGCCGTCCTGCTCAAAGGCGTGACTCAGCTCGTGTGCTAGAATAAACCCCATCAGACTGTGTTGAAAAATTGAATGTTGCCGATGATCGTAAAACGGCCACTGCAAAAAGATCAAAGGCACCGTCAGCGTATTGCGTTCATGCTCAAAGTAGGGTGCATTGCGTGCTCTGAACAGATCGTCGTTGACATAGTAGTGATTCAGTTGCAAAGTAGCTCCAGGCTGCAGCAAAGGAGCATGCTGCAGACGCGTTCGCAGGCGCAAAGCCTGCCATAGATTTTGCTGGAACTCGGAACGTGAAAATCTGGCACTGGCATAATGGCTATCGAAGAAATCCTCTGTCGTTGTCGCATCCGGTAGATTACCCAGTTTCAGCTGCATGACCGCAAGTTTGGCATGCAAATATTGTATTTGCTGTGGACTCAACTGTAATCGATTCCAATCCAAGTACTTGCCAAACATACCACGTAAGCTGTCAAAAATAGTTTGCAGCTGCCCCGTGTCCTGTGACCGGGTCCTGTATATGTATCGATCGTATATGTAGTTCATACCCAGCGGCAGTAGGGCGCGCATATGATGTATGCAACTATGAACTCTTGGAGCATGCCCCGAACTGGGATTGACTTCTCTTGCAAAATTGGCAAACTGCACACGTAGATATAGTTCCAAGCTAGTTTTGTTGCAGCGCCGCAGCAGCTCGCCCAAGGCTCGTAAGTACTCCACATCACTGACCTCTACACGAAGCTCGGTATCACTTGGCTCCACTTCCAGCAGCTCTCTAAAGTATATTTGCCAGTCGATTTGAGGTATTTCCTGCTTGAGTCTGCCCAGCGTCCAGGATTGCAATAGGGGCTCGTTTCTGCGATATTTCTCGTACAATGCACGTAGATCTCTTTCCAATTGTTGAATCTCAGGCTTAAAAAGCAATATGGGCTAAAAGATACGGGGTAAGGCATAATTATTATTTGGTATTGGGACAAACATTGAATTTTTATTAAATAATTTGTTTATTAACTTACCATATAATTGCTTTGAGCGGCTGGCATTTTCAGCTGTACTACAAAACGTAGCGAGTCGTTGTAGGCCACATCCGCCGTCTCCTCGAAAAAAACACCATTCAAACCATATTTGCGCAGCCTTGCCATTGCTCGTATCCATTCGAAGTAGTAAAAGGTTAGTTCATGAGGCAGTTGGAGCTCCTCAGTTTGATTTTTAGCACAAGCGGTAAAGTAGTCGAACATATTATTGTATAGGCGTGGTGCTGTCCCCCGCTGAATAAGGCGATTGTCTCTCAGCACTCTCAGCATTTCATTGGCATAAGTCTCTTCCGCCAGTGCAAAGTTGTCCACGTAGTTAAAAGACCAATTTCCACATGCGTACGCCCAGAAATTATTACAGGGTGAGATACGAGCATCCAGATTTGAATAAATATTTTGCATCGTGGCCGCATTAATATCCACTTGTGATTGGGCCAAAGCCGGCACAAGGCACAGCAAGCCCATTAGTACACTCGACATTTCAGTTTCCCGTCTCATACTGGACACCAAACTTGTCATTCAACCCATCCACATCCAGCGACAGCCTTATCAACAAGCTTGCATGAGCTTCAATTTAATTTTCAGCTCGCGTAAATGATTGTGGTTGCAACAATCAGAGCTGGATTTCAAAGTTAAAATACATTGCCCCCAACATATGTGAACAAAGCCGGTCAAGAAACATTGTGATAAAACAGTTTAATGTTAAGCTTTAATAAAATACATACAGCTGTAATGATGGTTGTAAATATATTTAAAATCCAACTATTTTGTTCTTATTATAAAAACAAATAATTGGATATGTACAGCTTAAAAAGCTTTGACACCCAACAAAATATTTCAATTAAACTATAGAAATTAGAATGATTTATGCTTATTTTTTAAACTTTTGTTTTCTGTCCACTGGCTTCTTGGATTTTGTCAACTGTCCCAGCTGTTTGGACTTTTGCTTAAGTTTATTTTGCCTTTTAATGGGCTTACCCTCCAGTAATGGTAGTTCATCCACATCCATACGCGGCGCCTGTGAGAGCTTATTAGTCAGCTTAGTTTTGTGTTGCGGCTGCGCCTTGCTGCTTGGCTTTTGTCCATTTTTTTGGGCGTCCGGTTGCTGTTCTTTTTTTACGCTTTTCTCTTTTTTATTGCTCGATGGTGACTCTTGTGAAATGGTCTGCTCTTTTTTGACCTTAGGCGTATCTGCAACAGGCGACGTTGACTCTTTACTTATCTTGTTCGTCATTTTGATGGGCTTTTCAAACACCTTGGCTACATATTTTGTCTTAGCTTTTTCAAGCTTTTTCTTTTTTAGGTCTTGTTCCACATCTGTTAGGCTGGGCTTTCCAGCTCGTTTTCCGAGCGTTTTGCGTGGTGCTTCAGGGGCTATTGTCTCCTCCTCGTTATCTGCTGCCGTATTTGGCTCGGCCTGATCTGATGCAATTGCGTCGTCAAGTTGCTTCTCATCCGCTTCCTGCTCCTCTTTGGTTATAGGAATGGTGTTCGAAAACTTTTTCAGCTTGGCCACATAAAAGCCATCCATATTGTTTGTATGTGGATAAAACCGCTTGCTCAAATGTAAGCTTGGGTGATAGCGATGCTGACGGAACTTGGTAAAACCAGGCTCACCAAAATCAATTCCAAGGGGCACTAGCTTTACATTACGCTTCTTAAGAGCATAATCAATGACCCACTCGTTCTCCTCGGGCAGGACGGAGCAAGTGGAATACACTATATATCCGCCAGTGGCTGATTTTGCATCCACACAATCAATGGCAGTGAGCAAAAGCTTACGCTGCAAATTATAACAACGTTGCACATCAATCTCTGACTTGGTAGTCTTAACACTCGGATCCTTCGAGACAACGCCGGTGCCTGTGCAGGGCGCATCGAGCAGCACTCGATCAAAGCCCGTCATTATACTTCTGAACTTAGTGGCATCTTCACAGCTGACAACCGCATTCACAATCCCTAAACGGTGAAAGTTGGCCACAACGGCCTTGATGCGGTCCCTATTTGCATCGTTCGCAAACAGCACACCCGTGTTCTTCATAACGGCTGCTATATGTGAACCTTTGCCGCCTGGTGCAGAGCACATGTCCAACACCCGTTCGTTCTCCTGTGGAGCCAACGCAATTACTGGCAGCATAGAGGAGGCGCCCTGAACCATATAATGTCCTGCCAGATACTCAGGCGTGGCGCCCAACGGAACCGTTGAGTTGAAAATTACAAGGCCGACGTTTGTCCACTTGCCCAGCGGATCAAGATTAACACCTCGATTTATTAACGCACCAGCGAGGTCACGGCGACGTGTTTTTAACGAATTTGTGCGGATGGTCAACGGTCGCGCTACCTGAAAGAAAGAACGAAAAGGTTATAGATGTGGAATTAACACAGGCTTACAGTAACGGTTTTGATAACCTACCTCTGAAGCCTCTAAATAATCCATCAGATCGCTCAACTTAAATATATCCATTAATTTGGACATGAGAAACTCATTGTAGCTGTAGTACAAGCACAGGTCCTGACGCAGCTGATCTACATACTCGCTGCGTGAGCGACCTTCCTCCCGAAACTTGCCGAAGTCCGCGAGCACCTGTGTAATATCTTTAATGCGCTGCTGAACATCCTGTAATGACAACTCCTTATCAGCGTCTTCACCGGGTTCAGGCAAATGGAACACTTCAGCCTGATCGACAGACATTTGCATCTCCTCATGAGCCAATTTTGCATCCTTGTCCTGACGCTTCTTCAGTTTTTTGTTGGCGCGCTCAATTGGCAGCTTGTCGTCGTCGTCGTCATCATCATCATCATCATCATCCTCATCGTCATCATCATCATCATCAGTGGCACATTCTTCATCATTTTCACTGTCTACATCTTGTTCGGAGTTGCCCTCGTCATCATCAAAAAGATCGTCCAATTTACCAACTTGAGCATCATCATCATCATCGTCATCGATAGACTCTTCCTCTTCCCCATCTGTCCCTTCATTATCCTTTTCCTCTAGTTCCCCATCTGAATCAGCTTCAAATTCATTTTCAGACTCTTGCTCTTCATCTAGATCTTCCTCATCTGAATGTTTCTTAATCGTATTTTGTTGCTTTTTTGATTTTAGCTTTAGCCAGTCCTTGTTATCATCTGTGAAACCATTTGAATTTTTTTTTTTGACTGGCACAAGTTTTGGGACTTCCTCGTCCGAAGACTCCGCCTGTTGCTTCTCTTCGGGCTCGCTTTCGCTGTTATATTCCTTTTGCCTACGGGGCTGGTGAGTACGTTTCTCCTTCAATTTAGATTTCTGCACTACTTTCTTTTGTTCCCGTTTAGCCACACGTTGTTTTTGACGGTGCGACAGTCGCTTGTCCTCATCGTCAAGCGGTGCTGCAAATAAACAATTTAATATTTGCTAAACGGCATTAGCGTAGTTACAATACCGAATGATTTCTTTGGAAACTTGGGTGGTCCCTGTTTTCGGGCCTTACGACCGGGTCCCTTCTTTTGTTTTTCACTATATTCTGCTTTGCGTCCCATATTTAAATCCTTCCAACTCACGTTTCGCTAGCGAAAAAATGTTTTTAAACAATGTGTGCCTCCACGTGCGGTGACTCTGACAGAGCTTCGCAACACTGCTCGGTCACTCTTTGATATAGGACGGTACAATATTAATCGAAATCGAAACTATCGTATAAAATATGAAATTGCAGACATTGTCCCTAGAGCGAAACTTGTTTTGATCTTCATATGTCCAAATATTCATAGATCTTGGATACCATAAGTTGATATCTGATTATATTATATATGTAGCAAAACAGTAAAAAGAAAAAAAATATAAATAAACAATAATTTGAATAAAGAAATCGCCAATGCCAATTCTGAAACATGGACTGTCTCAAATTACGTTAGTTGCGTATATGTATGCATTTTGCAGCACTGGCTATAATTAGCTAGGCCATCCATTAAAAATTAAACAAAAACAGGGATAATGTAACCATCTTAGAGCATTTTGTGTAATACAGTGATTGCTTATATATGGATATCGCCAGCATTGAGCTGAGTGTGGAGGCGCTCATTGGTTCGCTTGTAGCGCTGAGTGTGCTCTTCGTTTTTTGTCGCAGCATATTAGCGGAAGATGTTGTCATTTGCATATCAGGCAAAACACGTCACAGCTGGAAATCAATAAAAATAATTGAACAGGTAAGCACTTAACAATTAAAAAAAAAACATCAGCGGTGCTTATTACTATTATATCTTATAACTGTGCGTAGGCCTGCTTTTGTAATGTGTGTGAAATTTTGTTGACGCCATCTGCGGGCCTCTTCTGCGACTGTTGCGGTATTTGCACGCATTCTGAGCCGACGTGTCAGCGGCAGGCGGACGCTCGGTATCACTGTAAGGACAAATGGCTGCGAAACGTAAATACAGTGCGTCATTTGTGGGTGCGTGGAAATTTGCCAATGAACTACATTTGCGCAGAATGTGGCCAGGAGGCAGAACTGGATCATCATAGTAGCAGCTCTGATCCAGGTCTTTATGGCTGGAGATGTGCCTGGTGTCAACGGTGTTACCACGACAACTGTTACAAGAACGTGGATAGTAAGGCCGAGTGTGACTTTGGCGAGTTTCGGGACATGATATATCCGCCCTACAGTATTGTAGCAGCCAGGACACGTGAATCTGTGCGTTTGCATCTCGCAGGCATCAAGCCGCCTGATGTTGAGAATTGGGAGCCGTTGATAGTAATCGCCAATACAAAATCTGGAAGTAGCACGGGCTCAAATGTCTTGTCGTTGCTGCGTGGTTATTTGCATCCAATGCAGGTCATGGAACTTGGCACACGAGGTCCGCAGGATGCGCTGCAGTGGGCGGCCAAAACCAGTCCACGCCCTTGTCGCATACTAGTCGCGGGTGGCGATGGAACGATTGGCTGGGTGCTCAACACCATCTATACGCTAAACATAAAGCCTCAACCGTCCGTGGCAATTATTCCACTGGGCACTGGAAACGATTTGTCACGCGTGCTAGGCTGGGGCGCTGAGCCTCCCTCCGTTATTGATCCGCTACAGATACTGCGTAGCGTTAGACGCGCAAGATCTGTAAATCTTGATCGATATGATCTGCAAATTGAGAAGTTGCACTATCGCCTTCCTATACAAAGACATCCCACAAAGACCATACACGTCTATAACTATTTTAGCGTGGGTGTGGATGCGTACATTACGTACAACTTTCACAAAACGCGTGAATCTCGATTTTATCTGCTCAGCAGTCGCATATTTAATAAGGTGCGCCGCATGAAACGATTTAGGTTTCCATATTTTGTTTTTATTGAAATATTTCTATTTCCCATTTTCGTACATTGCCTCTCGCATAGTTGTTGTACTTCACATTTGGCACACAGCAGGTCATGCAACCGGATTGTGAACGCATTGAACAGAAACTGGAACTCCATCTAGATAATAGGCTAATCGAACTACCGCAACTACAATCCCTGGTGTTTCTAAACATTGATTCATGGGGCGCTGGGTGCAAACTATGCGAGCTGAGCAATTCCAATGGCGACGTGCGAATTGTAAACTCAATATCTGATGGCATGATGGAAGTGTTTGGCATAGTCTCATCATTTCATATTGCCCAGCTTCAGTGCAACATAAGCAAGCCCGTGCGCATCGGCCAGGCCAAGCAGATACGGGTTTGTGATCACTGGCATATTTGAAAAGATTTAGGTTAATTAAATCTCATTGCAGCTGCGTGTGAATGGCACGGTGCCCATGCAGGCGGACGGCGAGCCCTGGATGCAGGCGCCGGCGGATATACGCCTACAGGCGCGCAGCCAAGCTCGTGTGCTAAAGGCAGAAGCACCAACTCCCACCCAGTTGCAGTAGCAACTATGCTAAACCATAAAATAACCCTGTGCCACATGGATGATGTAAACTTGTACTTAACTTTCGCTTTACTAGAATCTCTTTCCCAACTAAGCTTACCTAAGGTACTCGCTTAAGATTGTAGTTAGCCAGAATTTAAAATTTCTAATTAATTAGAAAACGAAGCGAAACTAAGCCACCCAACTCTACACAATATACCAAAACATAAGATTAACATCCAGATACTATCTGGGATTAAAAAATTAAGTAAAATGTTTTAGATATTGACTTTTTAAAGCATGTCACTTTATTCTTCTCCTGTTAATTTGTTAAATGTTCGACTGGTGTTTAACATGCAGAGACGCATGCACATAACATTTGGGATTTGGGTTTGTTTATTTGTATTTTATCGAAAGGCGGGTAATCAACGAAAGCAGCGATGTTCCTCCGTGGCCCTTAGAGCATAGTAAGCTCCATAATGGCATTAACGATGTCGTTGTTGTTGTTTTTCAGTGCCTTTATGGCCTTTGCACGCGTCGTATTCGCCTGCGTTATGACTAACTCAATATCCTTTTCGTCGACGCCCGTGTCATCAACCTCTTCCTCATCTTCTTCTGCAATTGGAGCCACTGAAGTGGTGGCACCAACGCTATCAGCAGCGCCAGCCGCTTCTGGTGCCTTGAACTTCTCGGCGGCAGCTACTTGTGCCTGCTGCGACAAGTCCTCGATCTTAGCCTCACCAAAAACAATATAGGTATCGCTGTGTGGGTTCTTGTACACATCCGGATTGTTGATGACGAACAAAATATTTTTAGACTTGCGTATGGTGACTCGATTGACACCCTGAATTTGCTTTAGGCCAAGCTTGAGCATGATTTTGCGTGCCTTCTTCTCACCGCGTGATTGCTTTGCCTTGGAGACAACATCGATGGGCAGACCTGTGGCACCGCCGCCCAGCTGTGTGGTGCCTGTGTCAGCCTCCTCCAATTCGGGTATTATATCCGAATCACTCTCGCTACCATCATCCTCGACGCGCACATCAACGTCCTCAGACTGCTTCGCCTCAGCGGAGGTCGAAGGTGCCTCATTTTTGATTTCAGTGAGCTCAGGCATGTTTACCTATCAAAAACACAAAAGTAACGATGTTAAATTTAAAGTGTAATATTTTACAAGTCGGCGATGGGGGACATTTTGCCATCGATTTTTCGAGACCTATTTCTCTGAAATTATTGGAACAACTATTGCAATATATATAAAATATTATAATTCAAGCCAAGCTCTTTTCTATGGAATTCTCAGCTCATACTTTAAAAACGTGATGTCAGGTAAAATAAATAATTATTTACCTATTAAAAGCGGCTACACCACGGAATCGCAAAACGTTTTTAGTGAAAAAGAAGTGTTGCCACCTGGTAGAAAGCTGGGATAGGCATTATAGTGGCAACCACTACTGAACATTTTCATTGTTTAGCAGCGTAATCGATAACTAATGATTTAAGGAAAATCGACATACGAGTGCTATCTGTTGGAAGCTTTTTGCTATGATATTCAGCGCATTGTTTATAATTACCAGGCCGAAGTGCTATTTTGGACAGTGCTATTGAGGACAAAATCCCCCAATAAAGGTACAAATAAACTGTTTTAAATACGAGATACCAAAATGTCAATAGATCAAATATTTTTTTATTTATGGGCATACTCAAATCTATTTCTGTATAAACAATGCCTCCACATAACAAGTAGACATGTATCAACTGTAATAACTGTAATTACTTTCCAATTTCCAATTAAACCGTATAAACAATTGATATACAGGTCATAATTACAGTTTTACAATTACGGCAACAAAGTTCTGGCTGTATAAAGGGTTAAAATGACACAATTATGGAGAGCAGTTGCTGTGCCCATGCAGGATCCTGTGCACAAATTGTAAAGTGGGCGTGCCAATTGCTGGGTAAACATTGGACAGCTCTCGTTATGTGTTGCGGTTAACAGCGAACACATGTTCGACTTCGCATTTCAGAACCAAAACGTAATGATTATTAAATTTGTATTAGCTGAACGATATAATTTAGGGGCTGGCAGGCACACACAATGTAACAAGTCTCTAGTAAACTATTTGGTTTTCATCATACAGAAATTGATGCACTCACGTCTGGCTGCAGTTGTAATTGTTGTGTTTTATTTTGTGCGCATTTTTAAGCACTGCAAACGAGTCCCAGCTATGCGAAGCATTCGCAACAATTTGTCAGTAAATAATTTCGATTTGTGCGCGACGTTGTTGTATTTCAGCATCTGTGTCTGGGGCCACTATAGTCAGTCGTCTTGGTTAGGCCACATCCCGGGTGTCAACAGAGCACTGATTTATTTGAGCGCATGATACGCTTCGTTGGATTTCGTTAATTTGTCCGTTTTCCGCAAAGAGGGGTCTTGCAAATTCAAAATGTATATGCGTTTAAACACATATGTATGTACAATATATAAAATTTCCTTACAGAATTCTCTGCCAAGTTTAATTGACGCAATGCCAAAAAATCACAAGCTTTTGTCATAATAACAATAATCGCCAACAAGGCGCATAATTATATTGTAATTTATGCCCAATGCAAACTAAAGAAACTCAATCTACTCGAATTGCAATTTAAAGCTCGTAAAATATTTCAAACACTCAAACGTGACCAAATGCTTTTTAATTGCTTTCAATAGCTTGCGTTTCAGCAAACAAATACATTTTTTTTTCGATTGCCAAAAATTTGGTCAATTATGGCCAATTTAAACCACATATGCAAATTGACAACCGTGTGAAGTGTGGCTAGCATAACAATTAGTGTGAGGGTCGAATTGATATATTATGGCAAATTAAGCTACGACCGAAGAAAGGGTTCAAGAGCTGAACACATTACTGATATTTTTGGAAGAACATGGATAACACACTATCCAAGCGTCGGAAGGCATTATTCCTTAAGATAAAATTATATTACATTTTAGGCTTCGCAAAACAAGCCCCAAGAAAGAGGGTCACTTTCTTTTGCTGTGCTAGCCTTGGCTTGCTTTGCTGTCCCTTATGTTATTCTTTCAGCAAATGAATTTAGTCAAGTTATTTTAATTCATAGAAATTAATCCACATATAGTGTACTCATATATAAATAGATAAAAAACCAGCGTTTATGAGTAATGCAAAACTCTAGAATATATGCAAGTGTTGCTGTTATCTGCACTCACGTTTAAATCGAAATTGCTCCGTTAATATGCCACTCGAGATTCTCGTATGTCGACCCAATCATATCATAAACTAAGCTTGGTCCAAGTAGAAGAATCGGCGAATTATTCTCTTCCCCCATGGTTAATCTGAGTCTGAGTCTGATTACCGCATGACTTGAAAGCGATTAGGGAGACGCTTGTGTGTGTGTGTGTGTGTGTATGTGTGTGTTTCTAGCCCCAAGAACAACCCCAACACAAATAGAAAACAGACAAGCTCAACCGGTTTGGCAGCAATTATCGTTCAGCCAATCACAGGCGGGCAGCGCTCAAACACTGCGCGCCATATTGGCCATTAACGAGGCGGAGCTAGCTCTTTCTTGCTCTCCGACTATCTCCCTCTCTCTTGCTCTCGCGCCCAGATCGTGTGCGTATGTGCAGTGGTGGTTGCTTTGTTTGATAGCATTGGGTGCCCGACTGTGCTGTGAAGTGCATGTGGCTGTATTGGCTTTCATTTGCGCGCAGATCTTTGAACGGTTCACTGCGTCAACGTTGCGCGCACACGTGACGCTTTTTAAAAAGTCTAAGCAAGTGGCCAAATAATAAGTTGATATGCAAAACGAGCACACGGCGCTGCTACCACCGGTGGAGAGCAGCACCAAGTTGGTCAGCAAGCCGTTTCCGAAACCTTTCTCCATTGAGAGTCTAATTGCGAATCAAACACCTGCTGTTGTTCCTTCTTCCAATGTCGAGCTGGAAAGGAAAAGGGAAAGAGAAACGGAACTGGACCGGGAACGGGAACGGAATAGTAATCAAGAGCTAAATGCACGTGCTTTGGTGGCCAGCTCTGCCCTGGGTCTGACCCAGTTTCCACTTTACAATCCCTGGCTGCATGGCTACTTTGCCCAGAATCACGAGCGGCTCACTCATTTGATTGCCGGCGGCGGCTACCTGGGCGGGCCCTTTAACGGTAAGGAGCCTCAGCCCCAACTAGCGCCCCCACTGCCACTGCAACCAACGCACGCCTTGGACGGCCTAAGCCTTAGTCCGACAAAGCCCAATGATGCTGAGTTGACGCATCGTCTGCCATTGGCGCATCCACTGGACACCCGTTTTCTGCCGTTCAATGCTGCTGCAGCTGCCACGACGACATCGGATCTAAGTTATCGTCGCCTTGCGGAACTCATGAATCAGGATTATGTTCACAATTTAAGCGTACATGCGCGACTCCAGCACATGGCTGCTACGCGTGACCAGGACGAGAGTCAACATCAGCCACTGGCACTGGCTTCGACGCAGGAGCCGTCGTCTCAGCAATCATCACCCTCAAAGCCTCATAGCCCCACGGAGCCAGCGGTTGATGTGGGCATGGACGAGGACTACGAGTGTAGCGGTGATTCCTGCAGCGACATCAGCCTCACGATGTCCCCCCAAAACTACGCTGCAGAGCTTGATAAAAGTCGGAACGGAGGTAAGTGCACAAATTATAGATTATTTCTTTGTATTTGACACGTTCATAAGGAATATGATCTTGGCTAAAAGGCCTGAACTGATTTTTTAATAAGAGCTATCTTTTAAACTCAATCGTGAAACCTAGTACTTAATCATGGGCATAATTATCATGTTCTGTAACCCCAGCGGCTCCTTACGGTCTGCGGACTAAAGTGGTTTTGTCATGGTAATTTAAATGACGCAGTCAAGTCATAGGCAAAATTAGCATAAAACGCATTACGACCCAATGTTTGGTGTCAATCAAAACTGCAAAGTTCTCAACTCTTGCTCAGAGGAGAAAACAGACTGATAGAGAGTGAGAGAGAGAGTAGGAGAGAGAGCTCAACAATAACATCAAAATGGAGCTGACATTTTGACAAACGTAACGATTTAGTCATTGAAATGGAAAACGTAACGAATAAGAAAACTTTTAGCAAACCGCATTTTAATGAGTCCTCAGCATATCCTTCGGACATCCATGCCCATGGAGTCTCCTTGTGTACGAGTGGAGTTGGGCGTAACGAATTGCCATATAATGTATTCATAACTGAATTTCATGTTATGTTGGGGGGAGAGCTCATTGGTGCGATCTACCCCCGGGAGTGGGAAGATGATGAGGGCACATATAAATCAGTGACAACGCTGGCAATAGGCATATCTGAAGCGTGTAAGTGTTAAAAAAGCGCTTAAGCGTTAACCAAAATAATCAGGCATACCGAAGGGATGAACGACTTGCTCTCACACTCACCCTCACCCTCACCCTCACTCTCATCCTTATCCTCAACCTCGGCTTCTGTCAGTGGAACGTATAACATTCACACTCACACACACTCACACTCAGACATGAAAAACAAACGCTTATTAAGTTTCAAGTGAGGCTTTGTTGTTGTTGTTAAATTGGGATGGAAGCCGTCGGTCGGCCAAGTCAAGTGTGGACACACATGTATCCAGTTATAAATAAATATGTTTGCCGCAAGTTATGACACAGCCCATTTACGCCAGAAGCAGAAGTCAGCATCAGAAGTTGTTAAGGGCTGTTAATGGGCGAATTCAATGCGAAGGCCAAATACGAGTATACAGGATGTTTGGGAACTCAATTATTGTTAATACATATATTGTTGAAGCCAAAGGATAGATAGACCTAGGAGAACTTTCAACTCGATGCATAAGACAACGCAAATTCATAAATAATCTGTTAAAGACTTCATCCCTTAAATGCGTAGCTTATACAAACTCGGACAGTGAGGATTGCAGTGATGACGATGGCGGCCACTCGCGACATGAGGCCGGCGGCAAGGAGTCCCAAAGCGGTAGCAGCAACAGCTCCAAGTCGCGACGGCGGCGCACGGCGTTCACATCGGAACAGCTGCTCGAGCTTGAACGCGAGTTCCATGCCAAAAAGTATCTTAGCCTAACAGAGCGCAGTCAAATAGCCACAAGTCTGAAATTGAGTGAAGTGCAGGTGGGTTTACGACTATGCGACTCCAAAACAAACACTTAATACCTCTCTCTTTCTCTATATTTGCCCAGGTGAAAATCTGGTTTCAAAATCGTCGAGCCAAATGGAAACGGGTCAAGGCCGGACTCACGTCGCACGGATTGGGTCGGAACGGCAGTGCCAGCGGCACTAAAATCGTGGTGCCCATACCCGTGCATGTAAATCGGTTTGCGGTGCGCTCCCAGCACCAGCAGCTGGAGAAAATGTGCCTCAGCGGACCCAAGCCGGATCTGCGCAAGAAGCTATCAACGGAAGCGATTAGTGGCTTTGAGAAGTTCAATGCCAGCGCTGGCCCTGCTTCTTCATCCGTAGGAGTAGGCGTGGCCATGGGAGTCGGTATGCCACCGATTGGCGCACTAGCGCCAAGTCCCGCCGCCTCTCTGGCCCTGGCGCGTAGTATTTATTGAAGGAGTACGACCCAAAGTTGCACCAAAAACATTTTTGTTAACGTTTTTTGCTGAGTTATCTTTGTACATACGAATTGTCCCCCCCCTTTAATTTGACTTAAGTGTAGAGACCAAGATTTGTAAATAAACACAATTGAATTGAGCCAAGGATTTAGTTTAATGCTTAACAGCTTAAATGCTGATCATAATTTACAGTTAACCACCACAATAAATTTCTGGCCAACCGTTTACGCCTACAAGCTGACAAAATCAGCTCGCATTGCCCATTTATTTTGGGCCACTCGAGGGACAAACAAGTTTCGGTGTCAATTGGAACAATTAAACTACCAATTTGGGCAATTCGGCACGGAGGCCCTGGAGGCAAATGTCGCAGCAACTCGTCGAGCCTTTCCCAGTTCTCAGAGTGTGACTAATTTTTGTGATTTAACGCACCAAATTGTCGCATGAGAGTTGGTAACGACTCCTCCAGGCCGCATCAAACAATCACTCCAGGTGTCTCACGTGTCACGCCTCTTCAGCGCGAGAGCCAGGAACAGAAACAGCCATAGGCCCAGGATCACGGCAGAATCGCGAGGAGGGCGCACGCATGGTGAGTTATTAGTTTTGTAATGCCCAAACGAAAGGGGCTCTGCTCTGTGTATGTGTGTGAATTGTTAATTGCATTAGCGACTTATTTGCCACGACAATTGACTTTTGTTTGCAGATTCAAAAAAAAAAACTCTCTAATTGTGTGTATGTGCGCAGAAAACTAACCACCCTGTAAATGTAGCCGGGCGCAAGGGGAAGCATGATTCCGGCACCCTTGTATCCTTCCTTCTGTCCGTCGGCTCGTATCGTTTGCAGTTTTATGTTGGGACACGCCTCCAAGCATGAGTTTTTATTATTGTAACACTTTGCAGGCAATTTGGTGCCGGCTGCGAATACGGCTCTGACTGCTGCTCTTTTTCTTCTATGTTGTGTATCCGAATCAGAATTGCGGCAAATGAACAAAGTGCTACTGGATGATGCTGCTGCTGCTGCTGCTGCTGATGTTCCTAAAGGAAGTGTTTGGTTCGGCTACGGTGGCTGCTGTGTGAGCTGCACAACAAATTCAAATTATTCTGTGATAACTAATTTTCAATTGGACAGCGAGTCATACAACAGATGTGTAAAAGCAGACTTTTAACGGAATAAACTGGAATTGTAGCTCATTTAAAGAACGTCTCAGCCTCACCCAGCATTAAAGTCAGTGTCTGTGTGGCCCAGTAACAGGGAGGCAGGCAGGCAGGGAGGCGGGCAGGAAAGCTGGCACAGGATCAGGAGCAAAGCTTTTATTATAAATTATAACGCCATTAATTATATCCGGATTTATGTCGTGTTGAGCTATTAAACAGCCATAATGCACCACGTTAAAAATCACTTTAAAATCATTAATACAAATTTGTATTTAAAGCACCGTAGTTTATATACCCTTAGAAATGTGTTAACTGATTAAAAAAGTATAATAATTTAAAATGCTCTTTAATAAGAGTTTAGTGTCCGAACGTGCAGTATTTGAAGTTAAGTTTAGTTTATCAATAATATTATTGTGCCCTCAATTTAAAATATTCAAACTAAAAAAATGAGCAATTTTTTGCAATCTCGGCAACAGGAAATCTGTTAGCATAGTCCGGCCAATTCGAAAAAAGGGGGTCATAGTTGAATGCAGCGGCTCATAAATCAAATACGAAATGCTCGCTGTCATAATTTGTCATAAGGCGTGGACACGCCCTCCATTTGCTTGTGTCCCTTTTAGTTCTATGCTTATGTCCATGGCAGAATCGGTTGAGCCCAGTCTGAAACTGGAAACTGAAAACATGTGGCATGTTTTTCAAACTTAAGTTTTCGTGCAAGATTGTTGCCGACTAGACCCGATTCCATATCAAAGAGTACGAGACCGACTTATAATCCGTTGTTCTTGTCACAGAAATCACTGCACTGTGGCATGCATAGCAGAAGGAGGGAGAACTGCTCCGTGGGCAGAAAACAACAAGCAGTAGAAATCGCAATCAAGAGACGGGCCGCCCTGGCAATCGTATAATCGCAATGCTGCCCACTTGGATTGGTATTGTGCCTGCGATCTGTCAATCGGCAGTCCCCTCGTCGATTATAGGCACCCACGGCTTGTCGTTGGGGTCTGTCACGGTTGCCAGTTAAAATTCTGTTGAAAACCGAAAAATGCATTCACGCACCTGAATCCCTAATGAATTAGACGACCATCGGAGTCCAGACCAACTCCACGATGCAGACTGGCAGCTACCGGCGGTGTTGCATATTTTTCTTTATTCTTTTTTCACTTCTGCCTTGTGAATTAATTAATTACATTTTTATGATTTTATTAATTTCCCAACAAATAAGTGATTGAAACGGCCATTTACAGTACTCGGGTATTCGAATCCGACTCGGGTCCGGCTCCGTCTCCGTTTCCTTCTCCGCTCTCTACTCTCTTCACCCACCAATCCTTATCCCAATTCCCATGGCTTATGGGCACGTACGATGAGCTCGTAATAATAATGAATGTAAATTGCCTCAATGAGCGATTTAATGTCTTAATACATTATTTACAATGCATGTTCATTATTGTCTGGCTGCCGCCGTTGCACCTTTTTAATGCCACGCCCACACTCACGCTGAACGCCCCCGAATGAAGTGACCGTCGGTTGACATTTCCACAAACAATTTGAATATAATTATTACTATGGGCAAACATTTGTTGTTGTTTTTGTAATAATAACAATAAAAAAGCTAGAATGCCGAGTCAAAGAGCTGACTATGAGATACTCTCTATCCACGAGATCAAATTGCAAATATTTACTATATTTTAAAATATTTGTTGCCAGGCTTGAGGTCTAATATTTATTTATTAATTATTTATTAATGGGCGACAAAAACGACGGTGTTCCTAATTATTCAATACATTACACATATCATATATCATAAAGTGGTCATCATAGCTAAGAAATGAGGCTAGACAAGGATAAGGGTCTTAATTTAGAAATAAAATTAAATTAAGATTTTTAAACAAAATATGTAATTTCTCATTAAGAATATATAATTATAATATATGGCATTTTGTTATACCCTATTTAGTAACTTCAATAGTTATAGGGCATGAAAACAAACAAAACGCCGACTGCATGTGCCTAGATTAATAATTCAATAATATTCATAGAAAAGAATTACTGAACCTTGAAAATATTGAAATCACTTCACAGCTGGCGGCTGCACTTCTATTATTTTTCGGGTTTTGGTCACGAAGGAAGCCATTTGTCAAACACTGTTAGATATTTCGTGCAAGCTAATTAAATATAAATATTTTATTTTGTGACCTAGTCTTGGATCTAAAATTAACAGAGCTCCAAAACAAGTTACCTAATACTTTACAATGTAAGAACGTGTGGATTATAGAAATGATCGACTGCCTCCATTGTATTTTTTTGCATAATTGGCATAGGGACATATATCACTGTTTTGTTATCCGAAAGTACTTCCGCCCTACCGCATAGATCGCATGATCCTGACCGCATAATAAAGCAAATTTGGTCGTGTGCACGTTTTCCGAAAAAACTCTGAATTGTTGGGTTTTTAAAGCACTGTGTGTGGTCCTGCCCGGAGAGAGATCGTTTAGGATGAGTTACGAGGCCAGCCATCGAATCTACGTGCTCTGTAAAATTTTTATTGACTGGTTACCCATCCAAAGGACACGTGCAGACGTCAGATAATTGATAAAACTGCTCAGATAAGATGAGAGTTTCAGTTAAGTAATTGATATTCCTGTCGACAGTCAAGTTTTACCGGCTACCCGCTGAGCACTAGGCGCAAAAGCAATCAGCATGTGGATGTGGCGACTAAAAACCGACGGACAATTTATGCCACAGCATTCGGAACTGGCAGCACCCCCACAGGAAGGGAAAGAGACAGAAAATGCTATAACAATATATATATATATATATATATATATATATATATATATATATATATATGATTTTTGGTGAGTTGGCAAAAAAAGGAAAAATCTCGGAATAATAAAAAAAAGTTTGCAGCACAAAAAGCACATCATTGTCATCTCCTGGCTAGCAATTTGGGAACCGTCTTTTTTGCAACGCCCACCGACCCACACACAGTTGGCTCTCGTCTGTGTCTGTCTGGACGCGCTCTAGTTCCGCCCACCGGCTTCCGGCCACATAAGTGCCAACTCTCGGTGAGTCTCGTTTTTTTGTTGTTATAATTTGGACGCTTTCAACGCTGGTTAGCAAGCGCTTAATGTACTGCAATGTGACGGAATGGGTGGCGCATGTCCATAATTACAAACCACCCACCGAGTGTGGTGGCCACTTGCCTCCTCTGCCAGTAAAAAAGTGATGACGTAGATTGTGCCACAACTCAATCGTTTGGCAACGCCCACCGCTCAGCAGGCGGTCAAATTTTGTGGCATTCATTGTCGCGCTACTAAAATGATGCCGGTGGCTTGTGGCTGGACAATATAATAAAAAAACACATTTCAGCTCAAGTAAACAAGCATAAGCGCAATGTATTATTCGGAATTGATATTTAGTAAAATTTTGTTTTCAAATTACAACTGCTTTATTTGGTTTTCCACATATGCCGTAGCAGTCAGCTTTTGGTAAGTGAGCGTTAGTTTATCGATAACTCTTGAATGTAAATGCAACCCGGGAGGGAGTAACTGTTCATTTAAAAAGTCGCAAAAATGTACGCAGTCTTAAAATTTATTTCGGTTTATTTGTTCTTACGCGTATAACTATCTTCTGCTATTTTTTTGAGATGCTTAACTGTGGTCTTGTCGTTTTGGCTAACAAGCTTAAAGAGCGCACCATCCTCGCTCTGCAGCAGTTCATGCGGTGCTCCGAATTCGACTATCCTTCCTGCATCTATAACGAGGACGCTGTCATTGTCCATGACTGTGTGAAGGCGGTGTGCGATGGTTAACACTGTGCACTGGGAAAACTTGGTATGTATTGTCTCCTGTATAAGTTTGTCGGTGCTGTAACAACAAAATATATTAATTAAAGCAATTCACCGATGCCCCATGATCGCTTACTCGGCATCTACATTGGCCGTAGCCTCGTCCATAATGAGTATTCGATTATTACGGAGTATGGCTCG